ACCTTTCCATAATAACCTCCAATTACCCTCTAAGGTGGAAAACATCCCGAGTTACTCCGGTACCTAAACGTGGTGCTAGTAAGGACGTGACTGGGTATAGGCCCATAGCGGTACTTTCGGTTTTCGGAAAGATATTTGAGTCTATTTTAGACAAACGAATAAGACAGCAGATTCAGTTACTGACTGCTGACGAACAGCATGGATTTAGGGGATCTCGATCAACTACAACAAGCTTAATTAACTTCGTAGATTTTGTTACTGGTGAGATGGATTCCGGAAGGCAGGTGGATGCAGCCTACTTTGATTTCCGGAAAGCCTTTGACGTAGTTGACAATGATATTTTACTGGCAAAAATGGCAGCTATTGGCTTTAGCCCTGGGTTGCTAACATTTTTTGCATCCTACCTGCGAAACCGGACTCAATATGTCAGGCTGGCACAATTTGAATCGGACAGCTACTACACAAGATCGGGCGTGAGTCAGGGGAGCACACTTGGACCAACCCAGTTTATCATTATGATTAATGATCTGCCAGGGGCCGTTAGTGCTGCTAAGTGTTTATTATTTGCAGATGATTTGAAACTATATCACGTAGTTAAAAATATCTCAGATTGCAGTGATCTGCAAAAGGACATAGACGCAATAGCGAAATGGAGTGACAATAATCGACTGTATTTTAATGGGTCAAAATGTAAAATTATAACCTACACACGCGCTCGCAGGCCAATAATTGCCAATTATGAGTTATCGGATAGACAATTAGATAGAGTTGAGATAATAAGAGACTTGGGACTAACTTTAGATTCACAACTTAACTTCAGACAGCATATGATAAATGTTTGTGAGAGTGCTAATAAAATGTTGGGATTTGTAATGAGGATTTCGTTTGACTTTAAGGGAATTGGAGCAGTACTAACTTTATACAAGGCTTATGTGCGTAGTCGGCTAGAGTATAGTGCAGTGGTGTGGGACCCCTACGAAACAAAATACTCCATCCTAATTGAGCGTATCCAAAGAAAATTCGCTCGATTTGTGTATAGGAAGAGGTACGGATATTATCCCTACCTTTATCCTTCAATGTTTGTCTCAGGGATGGTAGGACTGGATACCCTACAACTAAGACGTAAATTATTATTACTGGTACACTACTATCGACTCCTCAGTAACAAGGTAGATAATCCCACTACACTAGCACGAGTGGGGTTAATGGGAGTTCCTAAACGATATCTCGAGGCTGGTGATGGCACAGAGGGACCGCGTAGGCGGAGGAAATTATTTGCTATGCCACCAGGCGTACGCACAAAGCGAGGTGCTGCAGCACCAACGGCAAGAGCGATGGGTCTCATGAACTCGATGATAGCTCAGCACCCAGAATTAGATGTGTTCCACGATAAATCGTATGTCATACGGAAATTAATGTATAAGTTTTTAAATATAAATCTCAATAATATAGGAATAGGAACTATCTAAGTGATTAATATTGTAATAGGTTTAAGTTTCTTTTTTGTATCCTAGAATGTAAGTATTTTGGCTCTTGCTGTAAACTTTCATTTTAATGTAAATAAATAAATAAGTACGAACTTCAGAATTCTGTAGCAAAATTATCAATAAACGTAAATAAAAATTCATATTTATTGGTCACTTTTTAAACAAAGTGTGGGAAAGCCATGCTTCTGCAGGCACGAATGGGCCGGCTCGACCGGATTGATACCACGGCCGCACAGAAAACCGACGCGAAACAACGCTTACGCTTGTGTTTCGTCGTGTAAGTGAGGTTCATCAATCTCCTTAATCCCCAAATCCCCCACAATCCTCAAAGTGTGGTGTCAGGTGTCCATGGGCGGCACCGATAGCAATCAGTATATGGTATCTAAGCATAGCATCAGAAGAACCGTCTGCTCGGTCACCAGCTTATCTCACAAAAAAAAATACATATAATACTGATGGTACTCCATTTCACCTACACTTTTTTTCTCTTTTAGTGTTCTACCACATTTTAAGTTTAGTATCTGTACTTACAAATCCAGCATCTGTCATAACGCATTTCTTGAAACACTGATCAAGACTGTCGTCGGAACCAAAACTCTCTATTTCCTTTTCATCAATACCACATCCGTGTAAACAGTCATGAGCGATAGATTCCAGACCATCCAGTAGAACTTTCTTGTCTTCATCCGATAAGCACTGTAAAGTAACCTTATTTTTAACATACATTTAAATAAATTGGTCCCACACACTTTTTCTCTTACGTCTTGGTTGCGTCTACAAATATAATAGTGAGCCCCAAAATTGTATCATCATCATTAGCCCGTGTTCGTCCACTGCTGGACATAGGCACGCCACTGAGCTCGGTCTTCAGCTCTTCTTATGCAACCACTGCCGGCCACCTTGCAGATGTCGTCACTCCACCTAGGTGGAGGGCGCCTTACACTACCACACCACACCCTCCGCTAACAATATTTGCACCAGAATTTGCTTTTTATAAAAATATTGTAATATCTAGATTAATTTGTAGTTCACCACAATGCAATCGTAATATGTAATTTACAAGAATCGATTTTAGAACACTGAATTATAATAAAAAAAGAAAAACTTACAAGCACATTTCTAAAATGTACCGCCACAACTGCAAAGCATAGCAACAGCACCCTGAACTTGCACATTTTGGAATGACAAAAGGTTCAGTAAAACTACTCACATCCCATTTTATAATGCGATGATTTCGCTAATCGTCGTCAAAATCATGTAATTTCAACATCTCTCTTTATTCATGACCAGCTTAATAAATAAATGTTGAGTGATAATTACATTTAATCTGTGGTGTTTCACAAATATTTGGAACTTTGTTAACTCTTTTTTTAATATAAATGTAAGGGTTCTTAACATGCATAAATACACATACATACATAACCTCACGCCTGTCTCGGTAGGCAGAAACTATAGAACGCGGATTTTTACGATTCTTACATACATCTTCCACTTCATCAACAGTCATCATTCTTTTCTTGCATGCTCGTCGGTTAATGGTACTTTTAATTTCGCCTTTTTTAAAATATTGCCAATCTGGTCGATATACATAGTTATGTCCGGGTTCTTAACTTTGCATATGGCAAAGTAAATGTGTAATAATAGTAAAATGTTTGAGGTTCATTGCTTTAATTTTTTATTTATTCCTAAATCCAGGTGTTGTTTTTTTTAATCGTCACCCAACATATGAATTTACTCCTTGTAAAGCTGATAGATGCATTTCAAAATACGTAAGTTCACATACCCACCTAGTTCCAGAACAACGAATGGTTGGCGGATCATATAAAGATTGTTAACCTGCGATAACCGTATATGCAAAACGTTGCGCAGCAGCCAATTAGTTAGCGTCACATGTCAGCCAATTTGTGCGCCCCTTTGCACCTTTTTTTAATTACATATTTAACTAAAACCGAAAAGGAAGGTTTTCTTGCCTTATTACAAGTGTACGATTTCTATTTCTATTTTTGCTACCATGTCGAAAACAATAATTTGCTTCCGTCCGCGCGTCACTGCAAGGGTGCCAACTGAAAACCAGTGTTGAGTGCTTATTGTGCCCAGCTCATATTAAGTTGGCAAGCCCTTTTTTGTCATGGGCATGTTGCCACCTTCTTGTTCTTTTTATGTATTTCCTTTTTGTTTTTTTATCTTTATATTATAATTCATGTTTGTGTATCATGCTAAATAAATTTCTTACTTCTGTCTTTCTTTATTTAACTACATCTATTAAAATGAAAACCACAAATATTCTTACTTTCTATGCAACCCTAATTTGCTAACAACGTAACCCTCATAGGAAATAGTACCAATACAATACATTTGCTACTTCCTGAATCTATTATTTACTACACAATAGAAATCCATCAGGCTAATTCTGAACAAACATAATGACCATGTTTCACACATTCAATGAGAGTCGTATTATATTTTATTAGTTGGACTAATATAATGGAAGTTCACACATGCTAAGCTGCAGAAGTAGTATAAATGAGGTAGAAAATGGTTTAGAAGAGGATTGATGTAAAAAGAAAAGGTTGCGGCATTAAAGATAACGTAATGACTAAAGATGAGAAAGGTGTCATAACATAGGATGGAGGAAAATAAGATTTCTAACGGCTATTGTCTACGTTGCCTCATTATGCATTATTCAATTGACGCAGACAAATGCATATTTATTATTAGTTACGCATGGCGTGTGGTTGACGAAACGTTACCGCAACGTGGACAGTGTTTTGTTACTACGCAAAATGCAAGCATTTGTCTTGGATTTATCAATTGAAGAAAGCGTGTTCGGATATGCCGTTCGGATACCTGGCCAACAGCCCTAAGGATATTTAAATAAACTTATGGTATCAATAACACTAGTAAAAGTCACTGTAAAATAAAGTACTAAGACATTAAAGGTAAAACGAAGCACAGTCTTAGGTCCTTTTGTTACTACTAGCCTAAAACATAATACAATACTGAAGAAACCAAACATCGATATACGAAGCACATTCTTTATATTCACAGTGAGACATATTGTGCATCACAAACGTAGGACAAATTATACGTTCTTTGACTGTAGTTACTTTAATTACAAGATACATGCAGTGCTTGTGCATCCAGGAGAAAACGTGACGGTAATTATCTATCACGTGCAAATAGAATACTGTATTGTATGAAACATGCCTTCGACAAACTGAATCATACCTTATTGGTAATGAAACAAAATGTTATTTTCCCTATAAGAGCAGTGGTAACAAGCTTACATCTCTATCTATTGGCGGCCTAAATTGAAACCGACTGTGACAAATCCAATCTTAAGTCAATCGAATTGAGGTCAATTCCAAATATTTTTAATAATGAGGATTAGGATTACGTCCATTTCCTAGGTCGGGTTAAGTATTAATTCAGTTTGATTTCTGACATTACTTGCGTGGAAAAACCTAGATCGACCATAGAGAGATAATAATGTGTTGTGTGGTTGTGTGGTCGTCATCATCATTTCTATTTCTTAAAATAAAACGAAATTTGTATGTGGTATCATCAAGCATTTATTTCTTAAATAACAAAAATATAGAAAATTCCATTTGTGTATATAGCTCTATCAGTATATAGCTCTTTTGTTTATATATCACTCCATCTGAAAATGAAATATTAAATCAGTGTGTTATTAATGTCATCAATCTGAGAGAGATGGGTTTTCACCTTTTAATAGGCCATCTTTCTGGCTTTAACTTAAGTTATTCTATCATTTCTCACATAACTTATCTATGTTTTCAACATGTTTGTCGATACTAAAAAAGATTTTACCAACTACTAATACATCGTCAGAAAATTACGTATAAATTACTTATAGGGAAAAAATGCGTTGTATAGCATCAACTAGCTGAATTCCTCAACTGGACAAGTGGCTGCGGATGCGACTGTTCAGTGAGGAGCTCAAGTATGATTTAATATTAGGCATTGCTTTGCCTGTTATTAAGGCTGCACTGTTATAAATATTTTTAGAGTTTTTAGATCTATGTTAAGGACATTTATAAGTTGAAGCCAAAGTAAAGGTATATGGAGCTAGATCCTCAATTGATCAAAATGTGTTACATATGACATGAGCAACATTGCTTCTGGAATTCTAATGCTTGGTGTTATGTTAATATTTTTCCATCTAATTATTATAATCCATGAACTTACCTTCTTCTTAGTCTCAGCTATACACTCAAACAGAAGTTTAGCTCTATCGCATCCTTTATCTCCATCGCTAACATCTTCGTCATTTACTGAAATTATACAATATTTTATTTGAAACATGACATTAAATTATGATGGAAAGACTGATGACTGTTGATAAAGTGAAAGAGGATTTAAGAATTGTAGCAATTGGCCTACTCCCACGGGAGACAGGCGTGAGGTAATGTATGTATGTATGTATAAAAAAATCTAGAATATTTTGAATAATAATGTTTCAAGAGCTGATGACGATATGGCAAGCAAAGAATCTCGAATCAGGTTCCCTGGTCGATCATATTGCTATCTGGTTGATTTGATTTAAGTAAGAGGCGAGAAACCAACTAAGCAATTAATTTTAACTCAGTAGTTATGGTTTTTTGCCTGGTTGATCCATTGTACGGTAAAACTCTCCATGCAAGACATAGCTACCAAAAAACACATGAATGTGTGACTGTTAATCCTTCCGAGAAGAAAATAATGTTACGATTCCAATCTCGAAATCGATACGGCTTTAATGAAAGTCTGTTCTAACTGCGTAATCTTATAAATTGGAATAATTATCTAAAGCACAATAAAACTCACTTTTGACACATTCGTCTCCAACAGCTTCAACGAACTTCATAGCCGGCTCACTGGTCAGATGTTCCTTGGCGAACGCCATGGTGCTGTCTACGTCAAATTTACCCTGGCTGTCAAACTGAAATTAAGTAATTTAAAACAGATTAGTACAAAAGTTTTAAGTGTTTTCCTACCGATTAAAATACTATATAGATCACACATATTGGGTACTATAGAAACAGAAAAAAGATTACTTCGAAAAGCAGTGACCAGAACTAAATCTACCCACTGCATACCTACATAGATATATTAGTATACCAAGTTATTACTGACAAGGCCTTATATCAACAGTCCTTGGCGGTCTTCTGTTGCTTTATGGACCTACTACCCATAAGAGAATTTGGCATAATTACAATTCTGGGGAGGTGGATTAGAAATTGTACTGTAGGTTTATCAGAAAGTACTGCTAACGAAACTATGTTAATCACGAAGTCCTTTAGTAGCGACTTTAAGGCGTGGTGAGACTAGGGGCGGTAAAAAATATATTCAACGCCATTACATGGCTATCAACCAATCAAATACTTACAAATTCAGCTTTCTTCAAGAAACAGCTCATGAAACAAGGGTCGATATCAGCTGCGCTAGCCTTTTTCTTTGCTTCTTCAAATTGCTCCTCAGTGATTCCGAATTCATCTGCACATTCTTGCACAAAAGGGCGCAAAGCCTCTTTTATACCTGCCTCTTCATCGCCAGACATAGCCTGGAATGTTAGTTTAAAGTGATTTCATCTTATGTTTTATGCGTTTTTTGTGATTGATTGACTGATTTTGGCCTGATCAGATGTCACAGTTATTTTTCACTAAACTTCATGGACATAATGGTAGTAGTTGATAAATTTTGTGAACTAGAGTGTGAGATATCTCTAGTTGAAATTTTGCTTTATTCGATTATGACAAAATAGCCAGCTCTCAGACAAATAGAACAAAGAACAAAAAAGGCTTATTTAGGGTCTTCTACACTGAAAACTTTAATAGAGTACTTACATTAACGCTAACAAAACAAAAAAGCGCCACCAAAAACGAGGAACACCGCACAACCGACATTATGCAATATGTTTTTTATTTTTCAAATTACAAGAACAACTTTACCAGTCTTCTAGGTTTATATATGAGGATGAATGTGACAACTGCAACATTTATATAAAATGCAGGTAAACACTTGCCACGGTAATTACGACAATTTTATCATTAAAATCAGTTTCACACCTGATGCAAAATGCGACGTCAAACGTCCAATAAATTGTGTGTATTTAAAAGTACATTATCATCTACCACCACAGAGGTATCACAAAAAATTGCAAATTGTTGCTGAAAATCATTTCGACTTTGATATACCCGAAAGTTGGTCAACGTTTAAATTTTTTAAACTATTATTACAAAATGCACGAATATCCTTACCAAATCATATGACAAATAAATACTTTTTGATAAAACTGCAAAGGTCATTTTCATCCGTAAATTAGATGTATGTGTAAAAATGCACCATTTTATTATTTAATCTGTTACGTAAAACAACTTTAAGTGTAGGAGAGCCATGCTTCGGCACGAATGGGCCGGCTCGACCGGAGTGATACCAAGGCCTCACTAAAAACCAACGTGAAACAACGCTTACGTGATGTTTTGTCCTGTGTGTGAGGTTACCGGAGACCCACCCCCCTTCCGTAGTCTCCTCAATCCCCGAATCACAATCCTCAAATTCCCAATTTCCAAAAGGCCGGTAACGCACTTGTAACGCCTCTGATATTTCAGGTGTCCATGGATGGCACCGATTGCTTACCATCAGATTATCTGTCTGCTCGTTTACCGGCTTATCACATAAAAAATACAAATGAAAACATTAAGAAATTAAAACATAGAGAAGAAAAACTAAGAAGTAGAGTGGAAAAAGACCATGATTATGGAGAAAAATAGGGAGTTGAAAAGACTAGAACTTATAAAGTTATTAAATAGTGTTTAGACAAGCATGCATGAAACATTGATGAATGCAGATAAAGCGAAAGATGTAGTTATGCCAAAATGGCCATTGAATGGCCGATCTCCATACAGACATACAAACTATAACTTGGTACGTAATAAAAAATATTTAATAATAACAGAAAACAGCGTATAATTAAACTCACTAAGGACACGAGATATTGCAATTACTATGTATGTTGTTCCCGCTATCTCACGATCATGACAATTTATAACATTTTTCACAGAACAATAAAATGTCCTCAATCTTGATTGTGAACTGGTGCTAATTGTTAGGTGCATCTTACATTGTTTGTATTTTTTACTATATAAAACTCAGAATGTATAGTAAAAATGATTTTTTTCTATGGAATAGTAAGCAAACGAGCAGATGGATCACCTGATGGTAAGCGATCAGCGCCGCCAATGGACACCCGCAACACCAGACGAGTCACAGGTGCGTTGCCGGCCTTTTAAAAGGAATACGCTCTTTTCTTAAAGGTTTGAAGGTCGCCAATACGCACATTACTTTTAAAGGACGGCGCCAACAGGATAGATGACTAATTTTTTTTAATGTCCGTCTGGTACATTATTTAAAAACATTAGACACGTATTTTTTATTATCGTACAGAAACTTTCGACGATATATTGATTTGAAATTTTGCGTGAAGTCACTTCTATGTACGTTTTATACGGAGAAATCACGTTGTAGCACCCACTCCTAAAGAAATTTTTCATTATCTAACTGATGGACTGCTGAGATTTTTAATTTACATACCCTGTCATCATCTATATTGAATAAGGTCCCAGCTTCGTACGGGAGCTTAGGAGATGTTGCCAATTAAATAAATTGTAAGTACTGTAAACGTGGGGTAAGTACTGTGTCGATGATCAATTAGTTGCAAGTGCCATGCTAATCTTGGGTTCAATTCTACGGTTGGATGAAGTTTATTAAAAATATCTCAATAAATAGCAGGGTATCTAATACACTTGCCATATGGCCATGGCAATAGGCTCACTCACTATAACATAAGACTCATAATAAAATTGGAGAATAGTGGACGTTACACTGCAGCGCATTTCTTCCTACCCTTTCTTTACTTACTACCTCCGAATATTAAAAGGAGTGACGTCACTGTTGTATGTACTTGTGTATACATTGTATGTACTTGTTCAATTGATACTGGTCTAAATATACAGAGTATCCTAAAAGTCGACGATCAAATGGCACCAAGTGATCGGCAAGATTCCAATAGTTATCAGAAAAATATAAAAATAATTCTAAGTCGTATAGCTTTCAAATTACAATGATGTGTAATCCACGAAAAAGTACACCCTGTATCAGTCTTTTGATTCTTGTTACAGCAATTCTTTGTTTTATTTTTGTATGTATGTTTTTTTGCATACGTTATCCTGAATAGTGCTTCAGTATTACGGAATCATAAATTCTGAGCTAACTGCTCTAGTTTGGAAAAAAATGTAAGTTTTTTGACGAACCATGTAACATTTTTCACCATAAAGTGACTGTAACTACTGAAAAAAAATTTTACTGTGCAAGAAGTGGCAAATTTCACCAAAGTTGGCACATTTAATAAGGATTATAAAATGGTGTAGTTACTACTTCCCGCATTATTTCTTAAATTCGAAACCAAAACTATTTTTCAATGAAACTCCATTTCGAACAATTAATTTGAACTTGAGTCTACAAAAAGTAATGAATACATTAAGCCAGTACATTTACAATTAATCGTCGTTACGTAATACCTAAACAATTATAGAGGTAGTATCAGTGGAATGGAAATGTAACATGCGAATATATAAACATCCGCAAAACACGACTTCGCTATTAAGCACGTAAACGTTCTACAGAATGCACGCGTGGTGGTCAAAACTTTTTTATTGGGACGAAGAACAACTTCAAATAATGTCATTATTACTATTTAATACTTTTCAGTCTCTTTCGCACAGCGTAACTATACGGTCGTTATTTTTTTTATGGAATAAACCGATAAACGAGCAGAAGGTTCACCTGATGGTAAGCAATCGGCGTCGCCCATGGACACTCGAAACACCAAAGGTGCTACAAGTGCGTTACCGGCCTTTTGGGGATCAGGAATTTTAGGGCCTCGAGGATTTTGGTTTGCAAAATTAAAGCATTAATTACGGCAATGGCCGAATGGTCGCAAGTGCGACTGCCGGGCAAGGGGTCTCGGGTTCGATTCCCGGGTCGGGCAAAGTAGGTATTTAAAAAAAATCTCAGAAGTAGTACGGAGTCTGGAAATGTGCCCAGTATATGGCAATAGGCTCACCCCCTATTACATGGGACTCATAACATAAATAGTGAAAAGTGGGTGTTACTTCTGTATACACCTCTGCCTACCCCTTCGGGGATAAAAAGGCGTGATGTTATGTAATTACGGCAATGTAGTTTGCCAGTTTGACCAATTATGTTCTCAAGTCGGCGCAAATGTATTCTACATTCTACACTTCTATACGGCCTGCCTTGTTTGTCAGAGAATAAATCAGAACTTTTTCAAACTTCGATCTCTAAGTCTTAAGTAGAGGACTTGACACTAGTTATTGATGAATAAGAAACAAAAGAATTATAGCTTTCCAAAATGTCTGTAAAAAATTTAGTGATAACGAACATGAATTTTCCCATTTTGTGGAGAAGGTAAATACTAATGTAGTTTTAGATTTTTCGAGAGGTATAGGAGACTGACAATCACCGTCCCGATGGTGACTTCCTTATCTAATCTTAACAAATGACTGCACGGTTGGTGCGGTGGCTGGGCAACCGGCTGCTGTGCAACGTGTCGCCGGTTCGATTCCCGCACGGAACAACACTTTGTGTGATCCACAAATTGTTGTTTCGATTCTGGGTGTCATTGTGTATGTGAACTTGTATGTTTGTAAACGCACCCACGACACAGGAGAAAATCCTAATGTGGGGTAACGTTTATTTAAAAAAAAATCAACATGCAAAATAAAACAGCGTTACCTCAGCATAATTAACTCGCAAAGATTAATAGATAAACAAAAATGCTAAATCACTATAAGATCCACTAAATACCACCTGCGAGTTAATCATATGCAATTATTAATACTGTACAAGTACAGCTTTATTAGCAATTATGTGCATAGTATACGTCTTTCCTAGAAGAGCAAGATAGAGGTACCGTATCTACTTACAAGTTTAACTTCAGTCATCTATTTTACAAGTTTCATTGAAATTGGAAGCAAATTAATGCCAACAAACTTCATTTCTGGATTCGATGTCTCTAATGGAAATTCAGAAATCAAAAACATACATACATACATAAATAACTTCACACCTTACTCTAATGGGGGTAAACAGAGACTATACTAATAGAAATCAAAAACTTATTATTGTATTTTGCTCGACGACAAAGCACGATCACCCGTTGCTTAGCAGATGTAATACGCTTATCCAACAAGTGAAAAAAGTTGTTATAGTAACAAATCTTATCAAGATTATGCATATAAAATAGACAGATATATTAAAAAGTAATAATAACAAAACAATTTCGTTCGACCTCATCATGATGACTACACGTATTGTGACGGCCTTGGGTGCAATCTCAGCGCCAGGCAAATAATTCTTCTTGGAATTAGAATTGATTGATTTAATTATAGTAGAGCTATTTATATCACTGTTACTGTATTGTTGTTATTATTCACTATAAGTATCATAATTTTATGATTACTGAATACATTTTTTTCACAGTGAGTTAGATCAATTTATGTTTTAATCTTTATGAAATAAAATCAATACTAAGCTACTGCTCATTAGGACGGCTAGATAGAATAAGTTAATTTTAAGTTTATCCAAACCAGGAAGGATGTCAAAGGTGACTATGGAAAATCATCTGTGAGAGAAGTCAATGGCTTAGCAAGTAATAAAATAAATCACATTCAAACACATTAATCTATTTAATCTAATATTATGCGAAAATAAAATCTTCTGGCTTATACTCGTACATGCACTTCGCTGCGTAAAACGAAGCTTCGCAGATGTCCTTGTATTTCTTTTCTGAAATTTTGAATAATATGCTTAGATATAATCTTCGAAATGAATTTGTAATTCTTTTATAATTAGTACATTCGGCATAATAGTTATAAAGTTAAATAATTTATAAGAATTGTAAAAATCTTTAGGACTAGTACACAAAACTGCGATGCGACGTCGCATCGCAATAATTTGCGAGCTCTCTCTACGAATTAATTCGCATCGCGCAATCGCGCATCAAAATCTTATCTTCCCGTGTCTTCTATGTTTCTTGTTCCTGTATCTCCTAAGCAATAACAGGAGTGCACACTTCTTTTTACGATCTATGTCACGATCTAGGTTTGCAAATTAAAATACGTTTAGTACGGTTGACGGTCGTCAAAGGTATGGTCTCCCTGGGAGACGCCTTTTCGCACAAAATCGCATCGCAGCAATTCGCATCATAATTTTTTGCGTTGCGAATTCGCATCGCATCGCATCACAGTTTTGTGTACCAGCCCTGATTGATACATCTGCTACATACACGTATGTTTTCTATTAACAAATATTGTTTCGGTCTAACTAAAAGCAATTCATATTACTTACGGACGTCTTTGCATTTTTCCACAGCAGCCTTTGCCGATTCCTTCACATCAGGTGGATACATGAGGTCAATCTGTTTGATTGAAGCTTCATAATTTAATTTATTATTCTTTATCTGAAAGATATCAATAATGTTTAAATACATTTGTATACTTTTCTTAATGAACTACTGAATGGTGAAAAGGCACTTCCAGGTTTCTTACAATATTTTCTAGTATTAAGTTTATATATAGTATGTCTACTTTGGTACAATTTTCAATAAGCACCTTTTGCGATCACTTACCACATTCGTCAATTCATAGATGCACGCTATATAGCACATAACTTTTCTATCTTCTATGAATTTTCCCTTATCTATACTGCCAACTTGGTCTGTAAAATATCAATCAATAAAAACTCTGCTAACATTATATTTATAACCGTTTATAGCATAGCTTTATAGAATATATATAAGTATATTTATGTACCTTCTGTAACACCGATCTTATTCATACAATTTTTCTTCAGCATTTTCCCAGAATTCTTCAACTGTTGTCTAGACATCTGTAAGATATTAAGGGGGTCTCCTATCACATAGAACACTAACTTCAAACTCAGTATTTCGTATATTTTCATTTTCATCTATTACATTTATAATATCATTAATTTCACTTTTGTTTGTACTTACGGCATCACTTCCAGAAGCCAAAAACATAGCTATCACAAATAAACATATTCTTTTTTGATCCATCACGACACTCACTAGTCCCTTACTCAAATGCACTGTTTACTTAAAACCTACTTGTTACCATATATACGACGTCCCTATACTCTGATTGTATACTCATCAGCGTATCATTAGCCAAGCAAATACATAAATTATCCTAGTCCAATTAACGAGTTAACGTCTTTCCATAACCTAACATGACTTAAAATGCTGATTCCAACAAGCTTTATTGTAGTTTTATACCTTCGTTGTTTTTTTAAATACCCTGGACTGTAATCTAAACTATACTTATTCTAAATGTAAATATAATGACCTTTTTTTCTGTTAAAGTACGTTTTTTAACAAAAACTGATTGAAGGCTCATTTTTATCGTCATTTACATGGCTCCTTATTTCAAAATGAACCACATGTTACTCAATATTTTTATTTTGTTATTTTATTACTATAATATTAGAATTATAGAAACAATACATGTTTTGTGTAAAAGATTTCATTTTGTACTTTAACTTTGGGCTTTACGGTATTTTATATTGAATTGCAATAAATAAAACTACATAATTATCAGTTTCATTTAATTTTTCTTCATTCAAACCCGATTTACGATGTTTAAGGGAACATGAAATTAGCTGGGTCGAAATCATAAATGCATTTCGCTGTCCAATAAGATGCTTCGCAGAGATCTTTGTAGTTTTTCGCTGTAAAAAAACAAAATGGTTAGTGCAAATTCTTCTATACTGAATGCATAGTTTAGATTAAGCTAGTTACTGTCATTAATGATTAACTCTCCGCGTAATATAATACTAATAGGTAAGAAGATAAGACAGAAAATATAAAAAATAATTACATAAATGTAAATTATTGTGTAATCCTTTGTAAAATTGAAATAATTCCAGATGAGATAGTGGCCAAACGTCGGCCTATCAAATACAAAAAGGAAAAGAAATAAATGAGTACAGGTTGTACTATTTAATATCCTATAGAGACTGAATGTTACAAACTTAAATATACTATGTAAAAATCTCAAAAAAGATGATAAAAATATATATTCGTAAAACATGGTATGATAATGTAACAAAACATTCTGAAGAGATTATATAATATGACCGCATAGTTACACACACTGCAACATTGAGCGTCTATGATGATTTAAAGCTAATCAAGGTTGTAGAAAACGTTTGATCATTTTAAGGCCATAAAGTAAATCCAAAGGTTGAGTTTTGAGTTTAATACGACTGTTAAATATTTGATACTATATTTTTTTAAGTTCCGAGGGATAGCGGAATATAATAATACAAGATGCAATTTCTAGCTTTTTTCTACTACATTTTTGTTGGCTGGATGTTTAATAACCTATAGTATGCCGGAACCCAGATCTACAAGAAACACAATCAGTTTCCTATTGTGTCTAATATACCTGTAGATAAGAGGAAGTCAGGTTACGTCAGTAAAAATATTAATAGATTTTAAAAACTCACCAACTGGTCTGCAATGTTCTATAGCGGCCTTAACTGGTGCCTTCATATCATTGGGAAACATCATATCCACTTGTCTCAGCATCATATCATGGTTTATGGTGCTACCTTTAACCTAACAGTTATAAATATATGAACTTAGTTGTAATTATAGAACGAATATAACTTTAGTAGAATTTTATTCGTACATTGAAACTTACGGTCTGTCCCATTTTGTAGACACAAGCTATGTAACACATAAAGTCTTTCTTTTCAATAAATTTGCCTTTGTCTACATCTTTTACTTCGTCTGTAATAATAATGAAGGAAAGATGAATAAGGAGGTAAAATAAACTTTAATCTCTACAGATTACGAAATGATTTAAAAAAAATTGCGCATTCAATCTCTGGCAACACGCGACACAAAATGTTTAATATGGAAGGAGACTTTGTCATAGCCATAGAATTTATCCACATACCCAAACCCACGTTACTACAAGTATTCAGAACAACAAAAATTCGTAAAACATAATTTATACATTTTAGAAACTTGGAACTAACATAATGCCAAAAGACTTTGGACTCTGTATCAAGATAAAAAATACATACATAGTTGCAAAATAATTACCTTCAGTAAGATCGTTTTTTGCAGAACACGTCTTTTTAATTAACTTCCCAGAATTTTTTATTTGTTCTCTCGTCATCTGTAATCAAAAATTAGACAAATTTTCAGTTATTGGTAGCGCGTGGAAGAATATGATAGCATTTCTCGAGAATTTGTCATTTTAAAAAATATCGTAGAAGGCAAACTAAATAAAGATAAACAAATAATAAGTTAAGCTAAAATTGATACTCACCGAATACACAAAACAATTGTTGAACATCACAAACAAGATAACCGAAAAAATAAAATAGTTAATGGAATACATTATAACTAGAAGTTCTTTAGGAATCTGACGATGGAAAAATAATAGCGAATGGTAATGAAGTTTTTTTATAAAGACAACAAAATCTTTAATTACTAAGCTAAGTGTTACTTGTCACATAAGAACACTGCACTTAAAAATGACAAGATAGAGTTTTAAAAAGAAAACAACCAGTTAAACAAATAGCTCTATTTAAAACTAACAGAATGAATTGAAAATATTCTAAGTACTTGAGTATACTTGTATTTATACTCGATCAATAAACTATGAAAATTACAGAATGAAATTATTTATCCATTTATTAATTCAAAAAACATTAATGTACTTAATGTTCCGTAGAATAATACATTAAGGAAAGATGAAACTGGCTGGGTCCTTTTCATACAAACATTTCGATGCGTAAAATACTCCTTCACAAAAGTCACTGTAGTTGTCCTCTGAAAAGAAATTTAAAAGGGTCTTAATAAGTTTCCTTGCTGAGGATCACTCCTGTAAGCAAGATAATCACGTTTATTCACGATTTTGGCATGCCTCTTTCATTTATTTTTGCTTCATATATTAATTACCCTTTATACTCTTTACTCCTTGTTGCTGTCCTTATATCTAACTACTTACTGCCAATTTCAAGAAACTATCTTAATCCAAAATCTGTCAATATAGGTCGGTTATTGACAGTAGTTGTAGTGAAGTTTCTGTCAACTAACCGATCTTAATCCACATATTTTGGATTGTGATATATTATAGAAATTGGCAGTTAGAGAACATTTTCTCTTATTCTATTTTCTTTATCAGTCGTCATCTCATCTCTAATAATAATATTACCTAACATTTAAATCTTTAAATGTATCTACTTACGGCTATGGAAACATGCTGCAACAGACTTTTTGACTGGCTCTTTGAGTTCTGGAGGATAAAGAATGTCAATTTGCTTTGTTATGAGCGCCATATCGAGTTTGTCATTTTTCACCTGCGAATGAAAGTGGAAATTATTGTCACATTTCTTTATAAAATCATTAATACTTTGGAAACCTACGTCGTGTGGCATACAACGCATGTAACGTATATATTTTAAGTTTTCTAAGATTTTCGATTAAGGACTGTTTTAGGGTTTTTTGTGATAGTGATAAATATTTACTGGCGATAAGTGCGACTGCCGAGCAAGGGGTCTCGGGTTCGATTCCCGGGTCGGGCAAAGTATTACTGGGTTTTTAAAGATTCTTAGTGGCACGGAGTCTGGAATTGTGCCCGGTATATGGCAATAGATAGGCTCACCCCCTATTACATGGGACTCATAGCATAAATAGTGAAAAGTGGGTGTTACATTGTACAATGGCATTAAGTGCCGTAATGTGCACCTCTGCCTACCCCTTCGGGATGAAAAGGCGTGATGTTATGATGATGATGATTACGGTCTATAATAAGTTTAAAAGACTCACCACTTGAAGACTTTTGTATATGCAAGCGACATAACACATGACATTACGGTCTTCAATGAACACTCCTTGTTCTATCCTCCCAACTTGTTCTAAAGGATAGAAAGATATCATAAATTAATTTTCTCATAATGTCGGCGATTATGGGTAAATTTATTAAATGAGCCAATGACGAGTTCTTTTTACCTTCTGTTACTGAGTTTTTCGGCATACATTGATTTTTTATGATACCCATAGTCTTTTTAACTTGTGCTCGAGTCATCTGTAACGGAAAAATGTTGCAAATTTAACCAACATGCTGATTCAGTTTCGTTTTCTATTTATAAATGACTAGGTGTTGCCCGCGAATTCGTCCGCGTAGAATTTGATTCCTGTTTTATCTCATTAGAGATAAAACGGGATTTAAGCGGGATAAAAAGAATCCTATCATCACCTAAGTCAGCCCATACCCTGCCTGTATACCAAATTTCATCAAAATTCGTAGTTTCAACGTGATTGACGGACAAAATCCAAACAAAGAAACATTCACAGGGTGATTGAACAATATTAGTGTGATTGATTGATAACGTAACATAATCTGATATGATGTGGTAGAAAAGCTCATTGCCGGTTACATGCAAACATGTAAAAAAACTGCGTTTAAAAAAACCGACTTCAAAAACAAATGACAAACAAAAAGTAAAAACTAAAAAGGAAAAAAAAACTATTAGTGGTCATACGTACTTATAGCTTACACACCCACTGATAGGTTAGAAGTCGGTGCCACAAGTTTTAAACCTAATTATTATATATTCATTAAAACCTTAATAGATACCTAACATTATTGAGCTGTTTACAATTTTATTATGGATTATACCAGCTGTGACTTTTGTCTACTTTATATTTTATTGTGGGTTTGTGGCACCGACTTCTAACCTATCAGTGGGTGTGTAAGCTATAAGTACGTATTACCACTAATAGTTTTTTTTTCCTTTTTAGTTTTTACTTTTTGTTTGTCATTTGTTTTTGAAGTCGGTTTTTTTAAACGCACTTTAGTTAACGGAAACCAATAACAATACTAGATTTCGAAGTTACATCGATCGTGCTCATCTCATCGACACAGGCAAAATAATCCAATCATTATAAAGAAAACTTAATATATATAGTCGCTAGCTACTATCCGTTTCACCTGCTCCGCTCCGCTCGGCGCCTATCGATCGTTGAAATGGGCTATCCATCACAAAAAGATTTATTCAAATCTGAGCAGCAGTTCTTGCGACTAGCGCGTTCAAACAAAGAAAGTTTCTTAATAGTATAAGATTACTTACCCCATAACTGCACCCAGCATACAACACAACCAAATACACTAACAATAAACGATTCATTTGTGTTTCCAAATCTACTTCTGGACACAAGTCGTCCCCAACAAATCGAATGAAAACTGAAACCAATAATTTAAAAATCTTCCAATTTATGTCCAAAAACTTTAAATGTAACATGTGTTTAAGTTAATAGAATAATACGTCTCGTATTCATTTTTACATGATAACCATATATTAGCTAAACGTTTGGTAATAAATTATCAAGTCGTTAAATCCCAGGGTCTTTTTTAGTGAACAGAGAGTCAACAATCATTTGTATAAGTACATTTTTTAGAGGACGCTAAGTACTTTGATATGGTACCTATATTGAGGTTGGTGAGGACAGAAATATTTAAGCCGCAATATAAAGTTTCTACCACATTCTTGCATAGTAAAGTTATAGAGAAAGGCCATTTTTAACTTGAACATCGCTTTTATTAACTGAAATACTTTTTTTGCTGAACAAGGGTCTCTCTTTACGTGTTAGTGGATTGTCATAATCCAGGAACATGGCCGACGGTTTGCAGACTTAAGACACTGAAAGTGTGGATAGAAGATGCTGCTACCGACCATCACATCTTTTTAGACTGTTCTTCAAAAAGATTTACTTACATATTTCAATCACACAATAGTTTGTACAATCTACGTTCGATTAGTATGCAATCTAATTAATTGCAGTAATTTAATGAATTATGTGTAAAAAGAAACTAAATAGTTTACGTAATAAAGCACTTTAATTTAAACTTTAAGCGTTCAAGGAAATACAAAATTTTGCGCATCGTAGTCGTACATACATTTAGCGGTCCAGTATGATGATTCACACAAGTCCTTGTATTTCTTGGCTGAAACAAATAAAACAATTTACAATATCAACAAAATTATTCAAAGTAAAAATTCTACTTCCAAAGGTTATTGAGCATTTTTTTTAAACGTTGCCACACATTAGGATTTTCTCCTGTGGCTTGGGTGCGTTTACAAACATACAAGTTCACATACATATCACACCCGGACCCGAAACTACAATCGAAATCGCGACACGTTGCGCGGCAGCCAGATGTCCAGCCACAGCACCAATCGTGGAGTCAAAGAAACTCATTAGTTACTAATAAGCTTTTACTATAAAATCTATTCTCTAAAGGTAGAAGCCTAGAGCCAAGATGCGGATAGAAAACACAAAATATTAGTTTGTGGTATCTACACACGGCTACATATCGAGCTTTACATAACCAGTATAAACTGAACGTTAAATGTCCAGAAAGATGATGGGACGCAACACCAGGATAAACTGGTTTTGTATAGATTAATGTGTGGCCGTGTGTACAAAAAATGCCCATGACACAAGGTACTAGATGGATAAACCATAATTTGGTCGTTACCACACAAGTACATAACGACAGCTATTTATGTAAATAGCTGCATTTATCTACGACCTTCCTAAACTATTTTAGCAGTGATTCTGTCATATTATAACAGTCAAATGTTTTATAACCGAGCAAGTGTAACTATAATATCAGAAACATGAACTATTTGGACTGCTGATCTTAAAAATCTTCCATTTTTTGTTATTAATCTTAAATGTAATAATCTCCATTTTGAACTAGACGTGTAATTAAGCACAGAATGCAAAAAAAATTGACACGTGTACATACGTACAAAAAGATCGCAAAAACTTAACGCTTTTATATTTTAAGCGAAACAAAATTGAAACATTCCCGTTGATGGTTAATGGTCATAAAATCACCGGCCCTGCTGGTTGTTATAAGTTGTTAGACATATTGCCATTTCATCACTCGTTGATTTTAGAGGTAAAAACAAAACTTTGATCTTTAAATCTCATCACAAGTAGATATGTAGGTACCTGCTTATTTAAGAAAAGGTATATCCAATATTCTATTGAAATGTTGTTCTTTGGTAACTATTTTAAAAAGCTTAAATAGTAGAATGAGTAACTTACTTGTTTCTTTACAGTGAGTAGCAGCTGCTTTGACAGCATCCCTCATTTCAGCTGGAAACATGACGTCTACCTGCTTGACCACCGCTTCATAACTTAGTTTGTTATTCTTCACCTAAAGTACAAGTAAAATTGAAATAAAGAACTACTTATTAGATAATATTTATAAGTTCACAAAAATAAATATCGACCTTATTCCATTCGAGAGTAGTCGCCGAATTTAAAAAAAAATCTCAGTACTAGCACGGAGTCTGGAATTGTGCCCGGTATATGGCAATAGGCTCACCCCCTATTACACGGGACTCATAACATAAATAGTGAAAAGTGGGTGTTACATTGAACAGTGTCATTAAGCGCCGTAATGTACACCTCTGCCTACCCCTTCGGGGATAAAAGCGTGATGTCATGTTATTTTATGTAATGATAGAACCAACTAAAAAGTTATACTTACCACTTGGCTCATGGTGTAGACACAGGCGATGTAACACATAACGTTACGCGTTTCTATAAACTTTCCCTTTTCGATGTCACCTACTTCATCTAAAGCCAGAATAATATCGTAATCAGAGGCAATGAAAACATAGAGTAAATGGGGTATTTTTTATTCTTATCTAACTTTTACCCGAGGCTTCGCTCGCGTCACAAAAGGATAAAAGTAGCCTATGTGACATACACCAATACACACAGCGCCATCTATACCAATTCTTTTGTTTTCCCTCGGGAATATCAAAATTTTCCGGGATAAAAATAGATAGAAATAGATATATAGGGTACCCTATTCTTCTGACTTTACGTCTGCAAAAATTCAAAGTAATCAGTTTAGAAGTTACGGCGTGAAAGCGGAACAAACAAACAAACTCACTTTCCCATTTATAATAGTAAGGATTATTTTCATTGAAATTATAATACTTACCTTCAGTCACATCGTTCTTCGGCATGCAAGATTTTTTCATAAGTTTGCCAGAATTTTTTAACTGCTGTCTTGTCATCTACGAAATAAAATGAAATGTTTTCCTTAAATACTTTGGTACAACCACATAATCTAGTAAAAACAAAATGGTTTGTAAATAATTGTAACATCTTACCCCATAACTTTGGTCAAAGAATAAAAAAATGCTTAAAATGCAACAGAGTAATCGAAAGGTTTTCATAATTAGGCTTACTTCAGCAAAGTATTGCGAAAAAACGTTTAGATCTATTTATAAGGAGGCGTTTACCTACTTAGCAGACATAAATGATTGATTACATAGGAAAATGCATTTTGACAATAAAATAATGTGTTGTCGAACCGTAAACTTAGGTAGACATACATAATGATGTTCTTATGGCAGCCACTTTGTATTTTTTTTTATCATTTATAGGTAAGGTATAGGCAGTGAACTAAAAACTAAAATACACCTTAAAAAAAAATATTAGGTACCTTAGGCTTAAGGCATCAAAAAACACCACTCTTTCATACGTTTCTCCATGGACAGTTCTTAATATTTTTTTAAATACCTGGCAGGTGTCCCTCAAGGCATAATCATAGGGCCAATGTTAAAAATATTTCTGTAATTCAATAAACAAATCTTTGTTTACCGTACCAGACAGACGTGTCACTGATACGATAAGAACATTAGATACTAATTAACACACACTTAGTTATGTAACATAACATAACATCATGCCTTTTATCCCCGAAGGAGTAGGCAGAGGTGTACATTACGGCACTTATTGCCAATGTACAATGTAACACCCATTTTTCACTATTTATGTTATGAGTATCCCTATCCCTAGCCCGGCTGTCGCACTTGTGATTACTCGGCCAATAAGACAGTTAGTTATGTCTTAAATTAAATAAACCAAAAAATACCTTTACGCTTTACTTTTACGTTACGTTTAATCGTTTTCGTCTGAGTATAATCCAAGTTCGTAAAATGTTCATGATCAGTAGTGAAGCCATCAGTATCCATCAGGTTGCGAATCAGATACATTGTAAACTTAATCTCACAATGAATGCATCACGTACAATTTAGCAGCATTTAATTGGAATTGTAGGGAACATAACTAGCTATTAACAATTTACCAAAGTATCAATTTATAATCGTGAAATAGTGTGAATAGGGCGACCATTAGAAACAAACCACATGGGACAAAACCCAGTTTCGTATTGTATACTATTGGCTTGCTCTCATTGTTGGATTATACAATAACAAAGACCTGTCATTGGGTACTTGCCAACTAGACAAATTCAATACTTTTTTTCCGAGCTGTCAAAAACGACAGTTTTCTATGAATATTGTACGAGACGTCGCGTTGTGTATAGTGACGTCGCGTTTTATAAGCGTCAAATAGCATACTTATTTCTTAAAAATTTACTGGAAACATGCTAAAATTAAGTTAGTCATAAAATAAATTAATGAAAGTGTGATTATTTTTCAATATTTTATTGTATTGAACGGTGGAAATAGTTCATTCTTTAATAAGGCAAGTACCCAATTCAAAAACTTACAACTAATAACGCCAGTCTATTTTCCCTCAATATTTTATACTGGTAATTACTACATTTAAACTTACACTGAGACACAATTATGTTGTGTGAAAATACCAAAATGAATCGCCGTCTTGAAGGAAAAACAAAACTACCCATTTCTGTAAACCAAATTACCTACCAAAGATGATCATAATACCATCATCAACAGCCCATAAGTGGCCACTGATGACCAAAGGCCTCCGGCACTGAGGTTTGATTAACCACCACGAAATGATGATCAGAATAAAATAATTAATCTAGAAGTAGAAATAAGGACGCACAGTTATTTAAAATCGACAAACAACTTGAAATTTGGACACCATACGGACACTGTCATAATTCAGGTGTGAACCCGTAAGAGTACAATTAACCAATCACACGTTGAACTTCATATAAAGCGGTTATTGAAGATCAAGGTTTTCATTAAATTGGAGGCCATGATACTACTTACACGCAGAAGATAACAAATATGCTTCTGACAAAAATTGTGAAGTTTTTTATATTAGTTGCAACATGTGAAGCTGTAAGTAGCTAATTACCTCTATTTTTGTTTTACGGACACTTAAATTGGACTTTAAGCCAAGATGGATCCTAGTTAGTAGTTTTGATAATGGCATTACCAGAAAAAAGTAGTGTAGAAACGCTCTCAGACATTCTACCTAATAGCATAATTTTGTGCATTTTGTTTTTGTTAACATTTTAGATGACGATGAAACAGATCAAGAATACCGGTAAGATGATGAGAAAAACGTGCCAACCTAAGAATAATGTCGAAGATGGTAATTTCATCATTTCATTGCAATTTGATTTAAGGACTTTTTGCTGTCTGTGTTGGTTCCCAATTTCAAATTAGCGGTAATTTTGATTTTAATGTGTTTCTAGAGAAAATCGACCCGCTTTCCGACGGTGTCTTCATTGACGAGAAAGAAGTAAAGTGCTACATGGCTTGCATTATGAAAATGGCCAACACGGTAGGCACAAATATGTAGTATGTAATATTAGATTTCAGATCTTGATCAACTACTTGGATTTCTATGAATGAAGTTTCTTAAAATTAATTCTATCAAAATCTAAAATAGTGAAATTGAGATTAGAATAATTTTGTAATGTAATATTGCAGATAAAAAATGGCAAATTAAATTATGATGCAGCTATGAAACAGGCCGATTTATTGTTTCCTGATGATATAAAGGAACCTGCTAAGGAAGCCATTACTGCTTGCAAAAAAGTTGGTAAGAGTCCCGATCTTATAGTATCTGTTGTACAAGAATACTCTTTAGAGACTATTTCAAAAAGTGTTATGGTCAAAGCTGCTTTACTAATAGTACTATAATTGATACTGAAGGCGCTATTCTGTTCCATTATTTAACTGAGAATTTTCCGAATCGAAAAACCCATAAGAAGTACCTACTTAAGCCCATACTCTATTATTATGACCTACCTATTATTAAAGTGTCGCAGTCACTCGACCAACATCAACCAAAAAATTCATGGAATATTTAGCAACTAAATAAAAGAAAAAACATTTAGGAACTGTTATAATTCTGTATGAAAAACCCGCAAAATCGTAAAAAAGAATAGATATTTTCATCAAAATTAAAACGGCTAATGAATATAAAATCACAATAGAAGGCCATAAAAATCTAAATCACATTCATTATTTATCTTGCGAACAAATTACCTACCAGAAGTCATTAGGGTTGGCCAATTATTTCAAGTAGCCAGTAGGTATGATACTTGCCTACTTCCCTAACATTGTGTACATATTAATTCATTGCCCATTGTTTTTTTCAGCGGATGCCCATAAAGATATTTGCGATGCGTCATTTCACGTCACTAAGTGCATCTACAATCACAATCCTAGTATATTTTACTTTCCTTGATATTTAAATTTATTTACTTTGTACCTTAGATCTCTTAATGAAATAAAACTTTTACGTAAGACTAAATTGCGTTTATATTTTGCCCCGAAAACAGTGTGAAAGATGTGGATAGGTAAGTAGGTACTATACGCAGATGTTATTTATTACCATTTTGAAAAATAATGTAATATGTTATAATATGTTAACCCATAATTAGAACTTAGTTAAATACCTACTTAATCAAAGGCGGCCGGCGACTGCCTCGTTGGCCGAGTGGTCGCAAGTGCGACTACCGCGGGATCTCGAGTTCGATTCCCGTATTACTGGGTTTTTAAAAACCTCAGTATTAGCACGGAGGCTGGAAATGTGCCCGGTAAATAGGCTCACCCCCTATTACATGGGACTCAAACATACATAAATAGTGAAAAGTGGGTGTTACATTGTACAGTGGCATTAAGTGCCGAAATGTGCACCTCTGCCTACCTCTTCGGGGATAAAAAGGTGTAATCAATCAATGGTGACAGTGCGACTAGTGCGGACATTTGGATTTGTATTAAGGGTACTCAAAACTCGTAACAAAGGCACTAGGTACAACAATGTAGTTGGTTCGTGCCAACCTGTCGATGTCGCCCTATAATTGTTTTATTGCTTTATCTGATTACAGCTTGTACAACAAAGAAAAAAAAACAACATTATGACTGATATTTATCAACTTCCGTCTAACATGATCGTACACCATCAATTTCCAGATAATCGCCTGTTAACTTGCAATTTTTCTAACACTTATTTATGTTTCTTGAAACTGCCCATAGGATGAGATATGCTACGTCTAAATTAACTTGGATAACCGTTAATAAAGTATTAAGTAATAACTCAAGTTGCTATAGAGGTATAATGTTTCATCTTTATTTTCATTTCGTTTTATTCACGTACAGAACTAAGTATAGAATTATTATTTCTATTTAATTCATTTCTACAGAGCCTGTCAGCCTTATGAGAATCTTACTGACGTTTTTGTGACATTTTCCGTTATCATTACTTACTGTTTCAATTTTATCACACTACGAAAATCGAAACCCTAATGTAATAGCTATCTACTACTACTGATGACAATATTTAGGAAATTGGAAGATAGTATCAAATCCTAGGTTTAAAGAGAGCAATATTGGGAAAGGTTCCAACAAAGTAAGTCCACAAGTGCCCTGAAAAATCCAGATGTTAGTGGTTCTATGTACTCGTCCGTGACGGATCGGGTTTTATATTCTAGTCAGTAAAAGTTTCTCCCCTTCATCATCTCCAGGAGAGCTCCAAGAGGATTTTTCACCCTGAAAACGAAAAATAAAAATAGATATGTACAGAGAGAACAAATAGTCCAAAGGAAAGAATTTATTAATGATGAAAATTGAATGAATCTAAATAACCACAAACTCATACAACTACGAATACCAACGATGATACCGTAAAATGGGGTGAATAGGGACAAATCTGAACTTCATAAAGAAAGTTAAGGCGTTTTTTTTTATAGAAAATTTGCTGTAAGGCGATTGTAATAATTGAGTCGTGATGGTATCTTTGTGATCAAACATAAATTATGCAATTAGCATTTCAGTTTATGCATAAAAAAGCTAAAATATGGCCTATCCCTATTCACCCAGAAATTGGGGTCAATCGGGACGAAAATAAGGCCAATAGGGAAATTCTCTAGGGCTGCCACTTGTGTAGGTACCTACCTAATAAATTATAATTTATAGCTAACTACCATTTTTTTTTGTATTTTAATTTTTTCTACATTATTACTTATTGCCAGTATGTAATTTTTACATAATACTAGTTTCTGATTATTTAATAGCTATTTAGTCACTGAAATAAAATCCACTTTTACTTCCATTATTTATTTAATCAACAAACCTTTTGGAAATTATTCATTAACATTTAACAATTATTATTCACTCAGAACAAATATTTATGTATTTTTCTGCTTCATCACTTAGTGCTCTTTGTCCACCTTGACTCTTCATTGTTCTCATCACATGTAGATCACATGCAAAACGGATTTAGCAAAATTAAATTATTTAGCTACTTCAACTAGAGATTTACTTCCAGTTTCATACGTTTCTACAGCAGTTTTTAATATAAGGGGATCATACCTCTTATAAGGTTTTGTACTTTTTAAGGTATACACGCGAGGCATATCTGAAAAAATAAATTTGCATTATTGTGTATAAAAAATTCTATTCAATATATCAACACTAATATAAACTTTCGGCTCCGCCCAGAGCAGGAGGAGACGTTTAATTAACCACCCAAAAAAAAACTGTACGTATTAAATGTGACAGCCAGTGTTCGTCAGTAACGTTGTCAGCCCAAGAAATACGGGAAAAGCCTACTAAGATACACCGGACACAAATTCGGACTCCGTAAAATATATCAAAACTCCAACAAAACTTGGGTCGACTCGGGAACCGATCCCGAGACTTCATGGTCAGCAGTTGCACTTGCAATCACTAGATTAACGACGCAGTGTAATACCTCGCTAATTTATGAAATAACAAAAAATATTATTATCTAGATTACACAATTTAAAAATGTTAAGTCTGCTTAGTGACAGCCCTATAAAGCTGTACCTATTCATACATAAGTCGTTCCTATTCATCCCATCCTCATCCCGATTAACCCCGCTTTCGTTGTGATTCATACCTGAGACGTCCCCATTCACCCCAAAAAATACAAATTTCGCATGCCATTCTAAAAATCTAAATTATAGTCATATTAATTAATAACTGATGCTTACCTTTCGTGCATATGACGGCCCAAACCCTAAATAAGGTATAAAATCACCACTTGTATTCGCTTAATACAAAATAACCTTTACACAGCAAAGTTTTATACACTGTAATAACCGGTATCTTGTTTATACTATTTTCAATTGACATTTTTAACAGTTTGAAGCTGATTTTACACTTGTTCAATGTTACCATAGAAAAGTTCCAATAATCTACTATTATCCCTCAAAAAATGGTAAAAGTTGGAACGATTTGCAAACTAGCATTTAGTGTTAAAAATGATGCCTGGTTTTTTCCCTATTCACCCCTGGATCCCTATTCACCCCATTTTACGGTACACATCTATGTAGTAAATAATTGTATATAGATAGTCATATATAATTAAATATCTACCTAACGTTATCATGATCGTGACTAGTATTGTGGAAACAGATAGGAGACACCTACCTATGTACCTACGAGTATAAAAAATAAAGGAAATACCTATGTATATGTTAACAGCAATTAACTAAGCCACTGGCCATCCATGCAGTCAAGTCCTTTAGCCTAATTGCAATAGGTAGTCTAAGTTCTTATTGAGCAGAACAACACACGAGTCTGCCTTCATTTTACAGTAACCGCCAAAAACATTAACTCAATTAGGATTCGTACACAAAACTGCAATGCGATGCGAATTCTCAACGCAAAAAATTACGATGTGAATTGATGCGATGCGATTTCTTGCGACAACGCGTCTCCCAGGGTGACCATTCCTTTGACGACCGGCAACCGTACTAAACGTTTTTTTAATTAAAAACTAGGTCGTGACATGAATCGTAAAAAGAAGTGTGCACTTGTTATTGCTTAGGAGATACAGGAAAAAGAAACAAAGAAGATTTTGGGAAGTTAAGATTTTGATGCGCGATGCGAATCAATTCGCAAGTTCTTGCGATGCGTAGAGGGAGCTCCATTTTGGCGATGCGACGTCACATCGCAGTTTTGTGTACGAGCCCTTAGGTCGTGCCCAGCTCTCGTCATAAGTAAATATGTAAGGTAATGAAGTATAGTGGGTAACCGGAGCTTCCTCCGGCGCGAAACAGGAGTGTGAACGGGGTAGTTTTTAGTAAGTAAGAGTCTTTAGATGAGAGGTAAGTTAGATATTTCCCGACAGACTCTTGCGTGTGAGAATTATTATTATCCACGTGCCACAAATCAAATAATAGCTCGAATATAACCATTGAGCAGATTACGATCAGTAGGTCGTCATTGTCATCCGACACTAATGAGAGTAACGTACCTGCTTTCAAAATTATATATCTAACTAATTAAGATCATATCCAACTGTATCAAAATTACTATTTAAATATTCTTCTACCATTATATTTAATCCTAAACATTGGGTTCATTTGAAAAACTATATAAAGCAAAATTAGCAATTGACAAACAGTTCATTTTTTGAGGTTAAGTGAAAATGATCGTTCGATTTTTATTATGTTTGTATATCGTAGAATTTTACGGCGTTCATGTAAGTATTTTTTATTTTTTGATGGACGTTAATTAAAAGAGATATTAGCTAAAAATCACGGGTTACTCACGTGAGTATGCTAAGAAAAGCTCTACTAGTTTCGAACCATAGAGGATTTCTTCCTCGTGAGCAGCGTGCGCGCTCGTGGCGAAGTCGCGCAGCCTAGTACACAGTAGGTTACTACTATTTTTAGTTAATTTAGTATGTCTCACGATAGTTATTATAAAAAGAGATATATTATTTCGTAAGATTTCATAATGAAAAAAAGTTCCTAATGGATTGTTATTTAATTAGGTACAGGCTAGAACTGATCAAGAGATCAAAGCATGGTTTTTCCGCGAAGGCATGGACTGTAACATTGAACACCCTATATCACCAAAAGAGATGCTGGAGCTAAAGGAAAATAAAATACCTGATACAAACAACGCTAAATGTTTCGTTGCCTGCGTTTTCAAGAAAACCGGTATGGTAAGTAGATAAAGCAGATGCAAGCAATTCTTTAAGCGCAAACATATAATGCGCGAACAAACAAAAAAAAATAAAAATCAGCCGAACATCCTCACCTCCTCCTTTTTTTGAAGTCGGTAAAAAGTAATTTGTTGCAAATTTTAAATACCACACCATCATTATCCGGAATACGTCCACTGTTGAACAAAAGCCTCTTAGAACCTTCCTTCCTTCCTTCGTGGAGGGACTTGCAAATATTTTCATGCGACTATAAGTCACAGTAAAAAGACCGATTTAGAAGACATAGCCGCCTTCTCCGGTGGGTCATCAGTACTAAGAAATGCCCCTACTCAACATAACATAACATCACGCCTTTTATCCCCGAAGGGGTAGGCAGAGGTGCACATTATGCCACTGTACCTACAACGTAACACCCACGTTTCACTTTTTATGTTATGAGTCCCATGTAATAGGGGGTGAGCCTATTACCATATACCGGGCACAATTCCAGACTCCGTGCTACTACTGAGATTTTTTTAAAAACCCAGTAATACTTTGCCCGACCCGGGAATCGAACCCGAGACCCCTTGCCCGGCAGTCGCACTTGCGACCACTCGGCCAACGAGGCAGTCAAACTATATAAAGCAAAATGCCTCAACTCACTTGCCTGTATTTTCAGCCTTACGTATTTGTAATCATAACTTACCGTAACCCAATTTACAGCTAGACAGCAAAGGCATGTTTGATGCAGAAAATTCAATAGCAATGACACAAAAAGATTTCGCTAATGACCCGAACAGACTAGAAAGTTCCAAGAAACTTCTGGAAACCTGCAAGAAAGGTAAGATAGAAAAAAAATAACGAATGTCCGCTTAACAAAAGCCACTATCTATAGTTACTACTGTAGATAAGTACCTACTGGATATTTTTTAAAACATTTCTCGACATTCCTCTAAATCTTTCTTTGATAAACATTTCGTCTTGATTAATCTTGACTTGATCTATATCCTCTTGACTGCCGGTATATAGGACACAATAGAAAATGCATTGTGTCTCGCGTAGATCTACGTACCGGCACACGACGGGATATGGAGTCCAAAACCAGTGACAAAAACTGTTTTACTCTAATTTTTCATATAACCAAATCCTACCTAAATAGTAAAAAGATACAATATAACCATACAATGGTGATTTATTATTTTTACAGTGAACGACGAAACTGTATCCGACGGTGAAAAGGGATGTGAACGATCAGTCCTTTTACATAAATGTTTTGTTGAAACTGCGCCTCAGGTAAAATATAAGAAATATAATTAGGTACTATGTAAGACTCACTTTTTAAAAGTTATGAATAGATAGAATAGATATAGATCTATAGAATAGAAACACGGCTTTTGTCGTATAGCCATCATGGAAAACCAAACCAAGACCAACCTACTGGCATTTCGGTGCCAATGTTGTTTGTCTCCAAATATTTTTTAACAAACTGTAATTTTTGTTTCAGCTGGGAATAAAATTACCATAAGCGACAACAATAATGCCATGCTCCACATAAACATAAATTATTTATACTTACAAATAAAATTACATTGATGAGCAATAATAATAATTTTATTTATTTATTAACTTTAGAAAACACTTCAAACAACAGGGGACCCTAAAATATTGAATACAAAATATCTACTATATTATTATGTATACGTATAATGCAGTTCTTAGGTTATTATGACGTGTATAATAATGATATATTCATTGATGCTCTACTAGAATAATAGTTTTTTCACCACCAGGAGGCGCTAGAGTAGTTTTAAGTCATACAATAATTAAGCACGAAGCAAAGGACCAATAGGATCTTTCTTCTCACTAGCGCTAACTGGTGGTGGAAAATCAAAAACACTTATTGAAACGAATAAGGATAAATGACCCATATTTTGATTACGATACCAGTATATATGTATACCTATGTGCTAAGCAGACAAACACGAACAAAGACAAATTAAAGGACATTAAAACTTTTTGGTTTCAATATTGGCAATACCCTTCATAATGTAACTTTATTTCCATAGTCTATGATAAAATAGTGTCTGCTAAATGGTGTAGCGTGTCAGACGAGAAACAGAGTAAGGATATCGTCATAAAAATAATTTGTCTGGAGGGCTGATATCAGACCTTATTTATCAATTGTCAATAGGTATACTTACATTTTATTTTGATTTATATATTCTTTCTTTGACTAATCTTCCCATTATTCTATCTCTGTCTAACCAGCGCTTTTAACATACACTCGGATCTATTAACATAATTATCATTATATTTGTGGTTTTATTCTGAAATATTTATCCTTGCTACTCTGTAAAAACCATGGAATTAAATCATAACACAAACATTAAAAGGTACATGACATCTAATACACCTTAAATGAAACACGCATAGCCACGTCTATGGTAACAGTTTTTACTGCACCTTTATTACAAAGCGATAAAATTCATTTTTCAATGTTACAATATTTCAAACTATGTTTTATTACAATATCAATCTTCATTATTTCGACATTCTCAAGCCTTTACGATTAACCTACAGTTTTATTCACAAAAGATAACCTAAAAATACATTTTCCGCATTTATTTTCGTAAATAAAACCTGGAAGAACAATAAGTTTATTTTTCATGAATAAAAGATCATTTTCCAATTAGACATTATTCTCACAATTTAGTAATATCAAAAAATATATTCGAGACATGCATTTTATTTCATTTAATTTATTGTTTTTCGTTTACAATCATTGCACGTCTAAGCTAATATATAATTTAGATTCAAAATATACATACAAATTTTCGCTAAGACACAATTTCGTTTACACGCAGACTGAGTAGAGCCAATTCGTCGATTTGATTCGATTCCCGTCCTTCATAATGTTTTACAAACAATCATTTAAATTAGCAACTAAATGTATTACGGTATCACACTAACTTTGTATAGTATAATAAACTCCTTTTACATTTTATACAAGGTGTAACGGAAACTATATGAAAATAAAGGATGGTTTCTTTTTTATTAAACTGTCTTATCTCGTCGACAATATTATAAAACATCGGTACCAAAAACCGAATTTTTTAAGTTAGAATAAGCACATCACTAGTACTTAAGTCGCTGATTGGTGTGGGCGAACTATTCACCTTTGTTAAGAAACCGTAATTCTGGTATAGATATTTTAAAGTAGGTACTTTTATATACTGAGCTGAAACTATGCGGTACGGTTTTGTACTAGCTGTTATCTTTTAATAATAGTTTAAGATTTCCGACACACCCTGTATACATATAAGTGTTATACAGCATGCATTTATTTTGGTGACATTGTAAAAACCTAGGTTTCCGTCACACCCTGTATATAAGTGTTATACAGCATGCATTTATTTTGGTGACAGTGTAAAACTTAATAAGCCACGTGATATATAGTGCGTTATAGTGAACCTAAAAATGACTAGTGCTTACGATATTAATATTATATGTTTATTATATTAGGTATTATTATTATTATGCACTTACACACACTCCCATACAATTTATTCGAATGATTACCTACAGTATGGACAATATTATCGATTACATCCGTATGGTATAGTGATATATTTGTGCAAACTGTTTAAAATTGTGATATATCGTTATAAGACAAACATCTAAGCTCACAGTAAGTTATATTTGGATTCTGTATAGTATTATATATTAAGATATTATGTATGAATTGCCTTCATATATGTTTTGGCAATACACACGGGATATATATATGTATTTATACTTAACTATATTTAAATATAAAATAGTCAAGTAAAAGTAAGCGAAGTAAGAAAATATCACTTTTGGTCCAAAGATTTGGAGATTCAATAAATCAGTATCGAAATGTTTACATTACTTAGATATGCTTTTGCATTAAATATATAGGAAAATATACTGCATGGACATATTCAAGATTTACACAGATAACTTCTTTTAAGTAGCTAATCTTAAAAAACATTCGTTACATATTGATAAAGTTTTCTTATTATGCTGTTCAATACGCAGTTCAGTATCCCATAATACGCCATGCAGCCAATTATATCTAATACATATTGGCAGTTATATATAAGCTACTTCATTACATATTTTTATAGAATATTCATTATTTTATAATATTTATGTACTTATGCATAATTTTTCAAAGAGTCAAAGTAAATTGGCACAGTTATTGCAATATTCGACCATCAACAGAATACGAATAATATTGAAAATTGCACAATTTAGATTACCTTGAGGCAATAATAAATAAATAAAATAAAAATTAAATCAAATAAATTAACAACAACTTATTAGTAGCGTGCCGAAAAATAAGTCAATTTACATTGTCGAGTGTATACTGAACGCTGCCGAAAAACGAAGACAGGTGATTGTAAAAAAGTTTCATTTACATAAAACAAGGAATTAAATGTTTATTTTGTGTAATGATAGTTGTAATCAACTGCTTAAGGCTGGCGTTGCATGAATAACACAAAAAATATATTTATTTTTGTCAGTGTTTCGGTAGCGTTCCGTTTACACCCTGTACAAAAATAATGGCAAGTTATAATATCTCTATAATGTAAATGTACAATTATATATACAAGGTGTAGTTTTGAAACCGTGGCATTTCTCGGGGGAATGTCACAGAAGTCATAAAGGTAAGAAATGATTTCGGGCCAATAATTAAATAGACGGCTATAATAATTCGTTCGACAGTATTTCAAAATAAGTGACAACAATATTTTTTATTGAAGGTTTATGGAATTAGGAATAATATCAATTACGTGTTTGAGTTTGTGTGTGTTAAGCCGCGTTATAAAGCTAGTTACAAGACGGCGGCGTGTACTTCGCACTTACGAATTTACAAAAAAATGAAAAATATTTACCTACAATATTTTTATTGATTCGGTCTCAGAATCGATAGCCGAGTTACCTCTTAGAAAAGGACGCGGCTTTAAAACAACACCTTGCATGTATATCAATAAAGGTATATTATTTTTATAATTACACGTATTCATCACAATAAATAGGCCAGCGTTCCTAATGCCGATTGCACCATAAAATGGCTACCTGATTTATAAATAATGAATCTGTGCACATGTAAATTTTGAGATTATTCACGATAAGTTGAAAAAAGAATGAGAATAATGAATTAAAATATTTTTGTCTACTATTGTAATTGGATAAGTAGATCATATTATATTCGAGGTTTATTATACAAAATATTCGAGAATTATTATTATGTTTCAAGTTTTTAACTTACCGCTTCACAGATAATATTCTTATTATTCTTAGATGTCTGTTGAACATATTTATGACTTGAAATTTAAATTTCAATCACCATCAAAGAAGCTATGATTACATTTGCGTTCAATATAATAACGACACATCTAGAATGCATTAAAAAAATATTAAAGACATCATTCAACAACAAAGGTCTAATATCATCATATAAAGTAAATAATCGTGCGTTTCTTTGTAAATAAAAATATAAAATTCAAAATCTTATTCTACACACACGCAAATGTAACGACAGCACGAATTAAAAGAAAAAACATTGAGAAATTAAGAACACAGTCAGATTGTCTATTCCACAAGGACAAGATGACCTTCAGAGAGGTCTTCGTCACCCTGATGTTATATGCTGTCATAGCTGTTGGGGTCGGGGGACACTGCGGGACCGGCGCCTCGAGGGGGCAACTTGAAACCATTGCACATAAACCTCCAGCCATCCTAAAAACATAATAATAATATTTTAAAACTCAGTAAGTAGTAACACAGTCTGGAAATGTGTACATATTCTGTAGTTTTTGCTACAAGCCCATTTTGAATACTTTCTCGAAAGTGCAAGTTCACACACATGTGTAGGTGTCACTATACATTTACAATTCCTATTTCATTTCATTTATTCATTAAACAATTAACATTGTATCTGAATGTCTTCATAGTCATAAATTACATTGCAATATAAATTCCAGCAGCATGGATCAGTCATAACACCAAGTTTTAAAAGCTGTAAGTCGTAAAGGATACAAAGACTGTGGAAAGCTGTGAAAGTTACGATAAGGACAAAAAACAACACGCAGCTCCCTTATTGGCTATCGGTGACACAATTGGACGTAACGAGCACATTTTGCCATTAGATCAAATGATTAGGTTTCTTGTTTACTTACTATATATATAAGAATACTAAGACACATTAATTCTTGTGGAGTATTTTATAGACTCATCATTTCAAACTTGAAATGAAAAAACCACTAAAATTGTGTTCAATTTGGACTAAGAAGTATCTTATTAAGAGACGACCATTCTAATTAAGAGATAAAGTACCCATGTATGTATGTCATCCCCACAAAGCACAGATCAGTCCTCATCGAGACGAACTCAATAGAACTTGACACGTGGAACGACAAACTATTTTTAGTCTATCGACATGTCGATACCCGCCATTGTTATTAAATACAGTTTATTCCTATGGATAGCTTGAAATAAATCAAGATTTTATGCGTTATTCAGTTTAACCACCACCAGGTGTCGGTCGTCAACTTCTCGGTTGCCAAAATATTTTGCGCATAAAATGACTTGCATTTATAAGAACTTTTAATAGTATTTCTGCGTAATATTATGCACCTGCTTATATTATTTACTTTTCTAGATTTGTTTTAGCAAAACCCACCGATGGATTGTCGTGTTCGACAACTTTAGATTACTAAAGTTGAGACTGTATAAACTTTATATTTATAAAGTTCACTACGTCGTCAGTCAGGAGCAAAATTTGCCTTCATTAGTTTCTGTAGGCGTTCAGAGCTTGTCCCTTCTAATAGTAAATCGGGTTCAGTACTAGAATTATTTGCACAGCAAATAAAATAATAACCTATTTAAAAATAAACAGACAACCATGTATTGTCAAACTACTTACTTTCACAAGGTTGGGCAGATCCGACCAGAATGCAAGGTTAGGTATAACTTCGACACCAGTCGCTCCCATCAAGAATTTCTTCGTGCAGATCCCGAGTACGAGGTAGAATACCACAAAAGAGAAGAATATAATCAGCAGGGTGGAGCCGAAGGATCTTCCGTTCACCTCTATTTGTTTCAAGCATGCATCTTTGGAATAAAACGCTAACACCTGAAAAAATTAGAGAAAAACAGTTTATTAATTTATTCTAAATCATAATTGGGATGATGACAGGGTATGAAAATTAAAAATCTAATTGGTCCGTACACTAGGTAATGAAAAAATATAAGACACGTATTTTTTTATTTTCTTGTACAATAAAATAATACTTAGATAAAACGAATCAAAGTTTAGGAGTGGGGACTAAAACGTCATGACGTCACGCGACATTTCAAACCAATATATTGTCGAATATTTTAGTTTTTGTAAGAAAATAAAAAATACTTATCCAATTTTTTTAAAAATTATACCAGACGGACATTGAAATAAAAATTAGGCATCTTCTAGGGTATTATCAATTCGCACACCATTAGGTCTGATTACGGCCTACGCCAATAGGGGTACTCTTGATTACGTGTGTAATTATGTAGTGTATTTGGTATATATTTGTTACCTGTCATATTCCTTAATTACAGGTTGATAGGTACTTATTAGCAAATTATAAAGTGTAAAATTATAACAGGTAGGTATGTAGGTAATGATCGCCTGCATATCATTTGTTTATAGTATACCTATTGCGTTCCAAACTAAATACAGTTCGCACCCATCATTCCCGAGCCGCGGAGGGCCTAACGGGTTGCCGGGCCTCCAGCTCGAAGAGCAGGAGTAGGAACGGGGTGGTTTTTAGTCAGTAAGAGTCTGACACTTCCTCTAACCTCCTAACCTAACCCATGATTTTCCATAAATAATAAATAAAAACCCATTATTGCCATTAAATAGAGCGTGAAAGTATTAACAAACGATTTTAGGAAAAATCGATGTTTTGCCCATACCGGGAATCGAACTTGAGCCCTTTTTCACATATCACACTTTGACCACTCGACCAATGAGGCGATGTAGATAATTACATATAACGTAACAAAAAACCATACAGTTTTAGTTGGAATGTAGGACGAAGAAGAAACTGGTTTGAGTGTATCACATTGTGGTTCTACAAGTTTTAACGTCATTACAGATATAGATAACACCAGTAGAAAAATACTAAACGCTTGATTGCATCAAATGCATTTTTAATTACAAATCGACTTAGTTAATTGTCATTTACAAATTTAAATTGCTATTGTGCACTATGATTTTCTACCGGGAATCGAACTTGAGCCCTTTTTCACATATCACACTTTGACCACTCGACCAATGAGGCGATGTAGATAATTACATATAACGTAACAAAAAACCATACAGTTTTAGTTGGAATGTAGGACGAAGAAGAAACTGGTTTGAGTGTATCACATTGTGGTTCTACAAGTTTTAACGTCATTACAGATATAGATAACACCAGTAGAAAAATACTAAACGCTTGATTGCATCAAATGCATTTTTAATTACAAATCGACTTAGTTAATTGTCATTTACAAATTTAAATTGCTATTGTGCACTATGATTTTCTAAATAAAATATTAAAAAGAAGAAATATTTTGATAACAAAGAAATTTTAATATGGTTAACTTAACAGTTAGTATAGTGTCTGGTCTTTCGTGTCGTAACGTTCGTAAGACTTAATGGAGATGACTAGCCAAACATAGTGTAGGGCGCTCCTCTTGTTAAAGATGAGCGAAATCCACCAAATGACTAGCAGTGGTTAAATTCATCCCTATGGTCATTAGCATGCTATTGGAGAAATCTATGTCCAGCAGTGGACATGATTAGGCTGATGATCACCATAATGATGATAATGAAACAAGACTGTAAACTATACGGTTGAATTTTCTCATATTTAGTTGAACAACAAAATGCTTTATATGAGATCAATCTTGGGTGGAAGTGAACGAGCAGACGCTTCACCTGAAGACAAGCGATTAGCGCCACGGCCCTTGGCACAACATAAAAGAAGTTGCCCAATTCGTTGTATAAATATTTAATTTGAAAATAATGGATTCTAGAACCTAAACAATACCTTTACAAGTTAGTTACAATAGGAAAATTATTTAAACTGCGTTTTCCTTCACTGTAATTAGTAAAAGGAAGTTATTCCATTAACTACATGTGCAGTTGTTTGTACTACACCTGTAATATTGTAGTTTTGTCTAAGCATTATATTTATAGTGCCCTGAAAATCTCATAACTTTTTTTTAAATTAGATTCTATAGACAGATGTTGTTAGGACATGGGGTTTCTTGTTCTTTCTTCTCCATAGGAATCTACAACATGGAATGAGCAAATAGCTTCAATTTTAATTTTTTGTTAACATTCAAAAGTGCCAATTGAATAATTTTGACTTTGACTTTGACATGGATACAAAACTGCGTAAAGAGTGCACATACTTCAATTCTTCCAAAGTTAGGTATATCATGTGTAATTCTCACATAGATGCCCATTTAAAATTCAACACAGAATTCCTATATAATCAGAAAGTGTCAAGTCCACACAAAGCATCTGTTGTCAAGTGACCTTGTTACAACCATATGTTTCATAATGGACTAACTAAAATATTATAATTAAGTTTGCTAGGTATATTATAATCAAACAAGAATGACTTACAATTTTATCAGGTTCTGATAATGAATACACTTGAAGTTTGTTCTCTGTCTCAGCACACTCCAAGAGCACTGTTGTTTCGCTGAAATTTAAAAAATAATGCTGTATAAGACTATTGTTGATATTGGACCAGTGAATTTATAGACCGATATTTATCAAGAACATAAGACTAAAACCCTAACGCTTTATTTATTCGTGAATTTTATATAGGTAAAACATAACATTTACACATAACACACTCCTTTTTATCTCCGAAGGGATAGGCAGAGGTGCAAATTGTGGCGCTTAATACCACTGTACATTGTAACACCTACTTTTCACTATTTATGTTATGAGTCCCATGTAATAGGGGGTGAGCCTATTACCATTATGTATACCAGTCACAATTCCAGACTCTGTGCTACTACGGAGTTTTTTTTTTAAATCTCACTAATACTTTGCCCGACCCGGAAATCGAACCCAAGACCCCTTGCTCGGCAGTCGGACTTGTAACCAAGCCAAGTGAGTTTATACCTATAGGTTGTATGCCCGTCTAACAAAACTGTCATTCAAGAACACCATTTTATTTTATTTTTATTTTTATTTATTTATTTAAGGAAAAACAAACAGTAACATATTACAAAATATACATAATTCAGCTTACACATTATACTTGGCAAATATGTTACCCACTACGTTCTCCACAGATTACTTTTTATATTAGATCTAGAGTGACACAAATATAGTTACATTTTCAAATAGAATAAACTAATGTGAAACAAAGACAATAGCCTTCATAGATTTACGATGCACCACTTACACGAATAATTAAAATGGTCACCAACAAATTTTAACAATTTTTACAATTCTTGCAATTTCGCACACACACAGCGTCACAGACAGACTGTCGATCCATAAGAGATGTCCGAATTTGCCTCTTAAAAACGTTTTTACTCAAAAATAGGATGTCAATTCCGTCAAACTCACCGCTGTAAGCCTCAACCATGCGATGAAGAGGCGAACGTGAGCCAGCATTGGTTCTGCAATAGTTATTGGCAAACAAACGCCGATCGCGCACCTCCCGTATATAAGCTGTGCGAGGAACCAGGTAGTATATACTAATTAATCAAGTCAGGACAATCGAACCCATTGCGACACACACTAAACAGAGTCATAATGTCCAGGAACGTTCGTCGCGACTGTAATGTTAGAAGATCATACTTTTTAAGTAATGGATAGTATGAGGATCTTCTGCGATCACATCTATAACCAACTGCACGAATGTATTTGCGTTGTACCATCTCCAAAGTATCATTATATTTCTTGTACAGCGGGTTCCATATAGGTACTGCGAACTCCAATTGAGGTCTAATTATAGATTTGTATAAATACAAAAAGGTGGAAGGTCTACGAAACTCCCTAGAGGCCCTCATAACGAAACCATACATTTGGTATGCTTTACTAACTATTCCATCTATATGAACATTTAAATGTAGCTTCGAATCCAACCGGACCCCAAGATCACGAAGACAATTAACTTTAACCAGGAAAGTATTAGCAAGGGAGTAATTAAATTCAGTTTTATTTTTCTTTTTGGTAAATGTTATAACGTGACACTTAGGAAGACTGAGAAAAAGCTTATTGGTGAAGCAATAATTTGAAAAACGATTTAGGTCATGCTGGAAATTAATACAGTCCTGCCTGTTATTTATGACTTTATATACCTTTAAATCATCTGCATAAAGTAGAAACTTAGAATGTTGAAAACAGATTTTTATATCATTAATGAATAAAATGAAGAGTAAAGGACCCAGAATGGAACCTTGAGGGACACCCGACGTGACCGAAATACAGCTGGACTCGAAGCCACTTATCACAACTTTTTGCGTTCTATTAGTTATATAAGACACAAACCATCGCAAAAGATCCCCCCTAATCCCATTGTAAGCGATTTTATTAAGTAGCAATTTGTGATCAATTTTGTCAAACGCCTTTTGGAAATCTGTGTAGACTGCATCAATTTGTTGTCTAGAATCAATACCTTTAAATAGATAAGACGTGAAAATTAGGAGATTGCTAATACAAGATCTACCCCTAACGAATCCATGCTGCTCACCAATGAGGACATTATGTATGGTCGGATAAACCACGTTATGTACTAGTCTCTCAAAGAGTTTAGAGAATGCAGACAGTATAGATATGGGCCGATAAGTCGTAACGTCATGTTTGGATCCACTCTTATGAACTGGAACAATATTTGCATGTTTCCAAGTATCAGGAAAGACGCCATACGATAAACATTTATTAAATATGATAAATAAGGGATAGCAAATTGTATCACTTGTGTTTTTTAAAAAGACTGATGGGATTCCATCTGGGCCCGGACCTTTAGATGGGTCAAGGGATTTCAATTCTTTACGTATAGCATCTACGGGAAGTTGCAGTTTACACAGGTTGATATCATTTTCGGCCTCATCATTGGGCGGCATCCATGAGTCGCAGTCAAAGGAAGAGGGCTCATACACCGAGTGAAAGAATTTAGCAAACAAGTTACAGGTAGTGATAGGATCATTAGATGATGCATGATTGTAATGAACCGATGTTGGGATTTTATTAATATTTTTACGGCTAGCAACATAAGTCCAAAAAGCTTTAACATTAGTAGCAACATTGTCCTCAACAGAGTTTATATAGTTAATATAGCATTGATGAGCTACTTTTTTAAATTTAGTTCTGTTGATGGAAAACATCTCATAATCGCGCAGATTCCCGTACCTCTTCCATCTACACCAAGCACGAGTTTTACATTTAAATATAGCTATAAGAGACCCAGAGAACCATATCGGGTAATTCACATTTTTAGGTCTAACTACTGGCGTGTGCGTTTTTATTACTTCATAAAGTTTTTCATAGAATGCAGATACACAATCATTAGGTGCCAAATTATCGAGTAAATAGTTCCAATCAACATTACTTAACTCCGCATTTATATTTTTGTAGTTAGCTTTGTGATAATTGAGTCTCCCATTAGCATTGCGCTTGGAGTTGTGTGAGGGGCAGGAGATAGAAACGTGTACATAGAAAGGAGGGTGAAAAGTGTCTACAGGTAAGAGGGGAGTATCCGGGGCAAACAAAACGGTGTAAGTGTTACAAAAAAATAAATCCAGGATGCGTCCCACCGAGTTAAATACATGGTTATACTGATTTAGACATTGTTGAGAGCAGAAGTTCATCAGATTGCAATTTATATCTGTGTTTTTATTGTTAAAAGCATACCTCATATAAGTTGACTTTTTTTCCCAATTAATCAAAGGCAAGTTGAAGTCACCTGTTAAAATAATATTATCAATATGAGGGTTGTCACATAAAACAGACAGAGAATCAAGAAAAGTCAAATACATTCTCTCATCAGAGCCCGGAGGTATGTAGGTCGCACAAATTAAATGATATCTATTATCACTAGAGGGTATTTTCACTATAACATGTTCCGGCAATGCTAACGGGGGCAAAAATGAGAGGTAGGTCGGTTTTAATTCCTTCGCCACGGCCACAAGGACACCACCTCCATCCCTTTTATTAGTGAGTGTTATTATATGTTGTTATATTGTTGTTATATTGTTAGTCTGAATGTCTAAGTGGCAAATGAGTCTCTTTTGCAGATTATATATCTGCAACCATAATTAATGCCTTGCACATATAAAATAATAACAAGTCTCATAGACAATTAAGATATTAGTTACTTACGATGGCCCGTTGGGATATTTGATAGAGTTGCCCTGGTCAGAGAAGTTTGATATACTTGTTCTACCCATGAAATCATAGGAGCCTTGATCAAATGTAAACGTGTTACTCGTTCCATTTGCCAGATTCATGGTGCTTACATGACGACAAATCTGAAATCAAAATATAAGGTAGTCATTAGGCTCAATTAAAAATTATCTTTTAATGTTTTACATAGTACATAGTACATAGTTACAGTATCACTTACATAGATAAACTTTAATCTTTGTCCCATAGCGACAGTAAAAAAACTAGATATTGTCATTGTCACCTAGTGTGGGAGAGCCATGCTTCGGCACGAATGGGCCAGTTCGACCGGAGTGATACCACGGCTTCACAGAAAACAGACGTGAAGCAAAGCTTGCGTTGTGTTTCGGCGTGTGAGTGAGGTTACCGGAGGCCCAATTACACTCCCCTTTCCCAATCTCCCCAATCCCTGAATCCTTCTAATCCCCAAAAGGCCGGTAAAGCACTTGTAACGCCTCTGGTGTCCAGGTGTCCATGGGCGACGCCGATTGCTTACCATCAGGTGATCCGTAAGCTTGTTTACCGGCTTATGCCATTAAAAAAACCTAGTAATTGTCGATCTCTACATACTTATTTTGCTTCTATGCTATCACATTCATGCACCTTGTCATGGAGGTACACTAAATAGGATAGGACTACTATTCGTCTACACCTATCCCATTTTCAGATCGCAATAGTAGTTCAATAAAATATGTATATTAACTCGTCGAGTACCGTATTTATAGACACAATTAAAGATCACCGGTCACCGGTGACCGCTTGGTGTTTGACAGTTTAAAACTTCCATGAGACATACTAAATTAATTACGTTTTTGGCTTAGTCCTGTTTCTCATTCCTCATCAAACGGATATGTTAGCAAGCCGAAAACATAATAATTAATTTAGTAAAATCTTTCAAATCTAGACATTTCACCGGTGACCGCTCGGGGTCACCGGTGACCGCAACCTATTGTTCTTTAATTGTGTCTATAATGACGGTACTCAATGAGTTAATGAAATATTCCTTGACTGACAGTCCTAAACTTAAAGGTCATCCAATAATACACAGGACAAAAGTGCTGTTAGGTACTTTTTGTCATATCAAATATACATTATCTATAGAAAAGTAAATTGTTTGTTCTGTTGATTTTAAATAAACAGTTATAAACTCCTGCTGCATATTACAACATCTTACATGCACTTGAGATTTATTGATAAGATACCAAGTGAATGTTCGGATAGATACTCATTATTCAATGTCAAAAATATGGATAGATTTGTATGAAAGTTGCCACAAAGGTTTTATTGTATGGAATAATGTTAATGAATAATCATTAGCTGGTATCGTTTTGTAGTTTTAATTTGTTACATTACTTAATGTCATTATACATTGTACATGTTAGCCATATTAGAACTCTCAGACGATAAATAAACGACTTCTAATAAGAAACTTAAAAGTTACACGCAAAGATTAAAGAAAATAATAAAACTAACACAAAAGGCAAGAAATAACCATAAGATAATGACCTCAACCAATAAATCCAAAGACACATGGAGGATCATTAATGAAAATAAATACTGCTCTCCCTATGAACACATAGCGGAAATACGAAGAAACGGGGATATAATAACCGACCCTAGTGATATCGCTAACGCATTTAACAATCACTTTGTGGAACAAGCAGAATTACTTTCGAAGGTCTCAAAATCTGCAAACTATGAAATCCCGCATACATGTTGCAAATCAATGTTCTTGGCTCCGACTACACCTGATGAAATACGTAGGCTAATAGACAATCTAAAAAATAAAGTTAGTGTAGGATATGATGACATCTCGACAAAGGGATTAAAATTTGTTTCCGATATAATATCTGGGCCCATTTGCCACATAATTAATGTTAGTATCTCATCTGGAATCTATCCTGATAAACTCAAACCAACTATAATTAAACCTCTATTTAAGAAAAATGATAAAAATGATATAAATAATTATAGACCTATTGCCCTAATACCAATGATATCAAAAATATTTGAGAAAGCGATTCATCACCGTATAGATTCTTTTTTTACAAAACATAATTTATTAGTACAAGAACAAAAGGGTTTTAGAAAGAATACATCAATAAACATGGCTATCTACGATTTCCTTAACATCTTAATCACAAATATTGACAACAGAATCCCAATTAGTGCTATATTTATGGACATGACGAAAGCTTTTGACTTAGTTGATCATAATATTTTACTACAGAAACTAAATGCTTATGGAATAAGGGGCAAAGCACTTTCACTTATACAATCATATCTTGACAATAGAACGCAGTGTACGGAAATTAAACGAGTCTCAAAAAAAGGTAAAAAGGAACTTAAATATATGTCTAAAACACGTAAAGTCACTTATGGCGTGCCACACGGTAGCGTACTGGGCCCGCTGTTATTTTTGGTTTACATAAATGACTTTCCAAAACACGTCACTTTTCCTATGGTTCTTTTTGCTGATGACAGCACAATACTTGTTGAACAGAATAAAAATAGAAATTATGAACGTGACATTAAAGATTCTTTGCAACAATCAATTAATTGGCTTGATCAAAATAATTTACAATTAAATGTAAATAAGACTAAAATTATCCAATTTAGACAAAGAACAACTACTCCTGACATAAATATATTTTTTGACGATAAAAGAATTGAAGAAGTAGAGCATACAAGATTTCTGGGACTAACTATTGACTGTAAACTGACCTGGAAAGAACATGCATCAATTCTTATAAAAAAATTAAGTCGCTTTGCCTTTGCTCTATACAAATTCAAGAAAATAGTTAACCAGGCAGCAGTTGTTGCTGCATACTATGGTTATGTTGAATCCACATTAAGATATGGTGTAATTTTTTGGGGAAATTCCTCCGAGAAATGTACTATTTTTAAAGCACAGAAAAGGTGCATTAGGTTGATGTGTAGCTTGAAAGTAACGGACAGTTGTGAACCTCATTTTAAATCTCTTAGAATACTAACTTTACCCTGCCTTTACATATACGAAACTGCACTGTTCGTCAGAAAAAATAGTACTTCGTTTAAAAAAGCCTCTGAGGACCGTCATAGATCGACAAGATCAGAACGTCGACACGAATTATGTCTGAGAGCCTCAAAAACAGCCCTTAAGCATAAAAGTATCCTTTGCATGGCACCCAAAATATATAATAAAATCCCAAATACTATCAAGAATCTGAATTTAACACAATTTAAACGGAAACTTAACAATTTTCTAATTGATAAATGCTATTATGCCATTGACGATTTCTTTCATGACAAAATGTAATAAACTGACAACTGTGTGTATAATTAATTATGAAAACTTGGGTAACTTATTGTTTATTTAATGCTTGTATTAATTTATTTTGTTGCAAAATTTTTGACATTTTTGCTATAGATTGTTTATTTAATGCCTAATTGCCTGTTATAATTTATATTGTGACTAATTTTTGACATTTTATTGATTATTTATGTTAAAATTTTGAATGTGATGATTATTTTTATACTTATTAAATAGTGTATGCCTAATGGGCAGCTTTTTGCGCTACTATAATAATAATTTTAAGACCTTTTGTATCACCAAAAAGCACACAAATAAATACTTTGACTTTGACTTTGACTTTGATAAAATAGGTATTTCCAACAATATACATAATAACACTATTATTTTGTTACAAATACCTACATAGAATGTTATGTTTCACAGAAAACATATTATATTGTCCATTATTATATATTATATACTGTTTGTAGTATATATTCATAAATCATGTACTTAACATAAAAAAATAGATTGCTAGATTGCTAATCAATGTTTCAGTCAAGTTTTATTTAATTTTAGGTAAACCCAAAACCATAATACATTCCATAACGTTTGGAAAGTTTAAAACATTTGACTACATTAAAATAGAATTATGTATTGATTACGGATTTTTTATGGTAAAACTGGTTTCATCAATGCCTCACTGTAAACACGTTTTGTCGGTAGGCGGTAACAAAATGTAACAAATGAGGCCCTAAAATATACTGACTTATGATTGTGAAACCCATACCGGGTAGGATGACCTAGACGCTCTACGATTACAATGTAACAACTATAATTATCTATATTAGGTGCAATACAACTTACCGACAAAGGTAAAGTACAAGTGTTTTTGGGAAGTGACTGGCTCACGTTCAAATTAACGTCGTAGCACGGATGATAGTAATAGGTACTCATTTCATATTGCGACCCATTCATCTTGACCTCATACGTACTCGCTGTGTAAAATTCAGTTGAAATCGCAGGAGTAAGGTCGATTCCGGTGCCATTTGAAAAAACACACACACACGGTGCTCGCATCTCACACGGTTCAGCATTATTGAAAGATAACGTGCAGGTCAAATAGATCACGATAAAACCAAAAACTTTAAAGAACCCCATCTTGCCAATGGATTAACAAATAAAAACGTAGTACAATTTCCTGAGTATTATAATCCACTTCACTCTTTGTGTACGACTTACGACAGACAGAAGAGAAGACGTATTTTTACCCAATCACAAATCAACAAAATATGAAGAAGACAGATGGAGGGTTGCTAGTTTAAAAGTAATTTTTCCCGACATTTTATTTTTGGTGCTATGTTTATTTCTAAATACCTATCTCGAAAAAGATACGAAATATTTGAATGTCAATGAAATTAAAATATTTCCTACATCTAATAAAGTAGTGTTATGCTTTGTTAGTTATAATCTTCGAATGGAGTTAAATTGCATTTAACCCATTAGAAGTCACTGTACTCATATGAGTACACCTAAAATTTTACGCATAAACTTAATATCTCTAATATTTTTGTAGGGTAACCCTATTATCTTAATTCCTTATAAAATTGTCTAACTATATTGATAAATTATATCCTCATATAATTTATCAATATAGTTAGAAAAAAATATCGGACTACCCTCGTAGTGCGATATTTTTTTCACATTATTTACATTGCCCGCCAATCTACTTCAAAATCAAACCCTACGTGGCGGAAATGTGCAATCCTGCAAAATGGAGTTAGAGTTAAATTTTTAGTGTATACACTAAAAATTTAAAAGCTATTACGATGTATCCTTTGTCATTCAAGAGTACCTACGTTGACAATGTAAAAAGTGCTAAAACACTTTATGTAGAAATATCGTGTTTTGAAGGTGGTCAGTGTACTCAATTGAGTACACCCCTGAATTATCATGAAAAATACTATTTTCCATTTTTTTTCTCGCATTTACTGTTCTTATACTCTCAGTTGATTACGAAAATAAACAAAATTTAAAAAAATATATTGGTACTTTTTATTTGACCTTTAATGGGTTAAACCATCTAAATGGCACCAGGCTCGCCATAAACTTGCGTACAAAGCGTGCACAGCACACGGACGCACGATCATGAGAGGGGTAAATCGAGCGAGTACTACTATTCAAAATCATTGTCCAGAGTAAGCAGAAAGCATAAGAAATAATATCATCGCCGGAAAAAAACTGACTGACAAACTATTATTTATTTTGTATTTGTTGCCGTTTGAAAAGTACCAAATTATGGTTTCATTTAAATAAATGCTTTGACTTTGACACCATAGACGGGGCCCGCCAGAATTTGCATGTTGCCTTGCTAGAGGGTAGGTTGTCATATGGGTACTGAGGCCCTGGCTTTGAGCAAGTGTTGGAAGGAATGGGGTGGTTTTTTTTAGTTAATAAGAGTTTTAAGAGTCAATTGCTCAAGAATCATTTGAGGACTTTTTACCCACTTAACAAAAAGGTGGTGGCATAATCGGTATTTGCACACGGGCGCTCGAATAGCTAGAGCTTAAATGGCACACACTTTTCCAATTATTTAATTGCATAATGTAGTATACGAAATAGTAAATAAACATTTTTATGGGATAAGCCGGTAAACGAGCAGACAAATCACCTGATGGTAAGCAATCGGCGTCGGCCATGATCACCTAGAACGCCGGAGGCGTTACAAGTGCGTTAGCGGCATAAACGGCAGCGGCACAAACACAACGCAAGCGTACGTCGGTTTTCTGAGGCCGTATTATCACTTCGGTCGAACTGGCCCATTTGTGCTGAAGCATGGCTCATTCTAGTTGTAGGTGATTCCAATACGAAGCCATTGTCCAACACAACCTTTAATTTTTTTTTTTGGGCAACACTGTTGTTATTTGGTAATGTCAAAGTAATTTGACAATTGACACTTGAAATAGTTGACATTGACAGTAAATTTTTAATAAGTTTATTGATATTTTTAATGTGTGGTGTTTGTAAAATAATTTCATATCAAATGTGATACAATTTTAAAATATTCACTGAAAACTCAAAAATCTTTGTTCAACATGGCAGATAAGAAGAAAAAAATATTTACCCCGAAGGTAAGTTCAGAAAAAACTTATTAGAAACTCTTTAGAAACTTGCAGTATTTAATTATTTTACAATGAAAATTACAGGAGACAACTACACCGAGACGACCTATGATATTGAAATCAGATCGTGAGACTGCAAAAGACCCGGCTAAAGAAAAACAGGAAAAAGAAAAGCAGCCTACCATAATATTGAAAACCAGAGAGCAGAGTACTCCTAAGGAGGAACGACCTCTTAGTCCTAAAACTGTTAGAACTTCAACCTCTGAAGGAGATGGCCCTCATCCATGTAAAATTGCTCAAAATGAAAACAAAGAGAAGAAAGCTCCTGGTAATATTTTAGTACCTACTCCATAAGATATGTTTTCCTCAACTGTAGGTAATACAGAACCACCACCAACATTACCATATTTTACTACTTTTGAACATAGATCATCTTTACTATTTCAGCAGTAAAGAGTAAGTGTGAAAATGGTAAAAAAAACAATAATTTACACTTTATAATTTAATTCTGTTTTTGTTACTAAAATCTAATCTAAACATATAAATAAATATTCAAGTACATGTAAGTAAAGTATATGTTTTTAATCTGCAATAACATAATCATGTGTGCGTAATTTCAGAACAAAAGCCTAGTCCTCCTTTGAAGTTTATGACGGAACCCGTGAAGCTGCTAGATGAGAACCTAGAACTGAATCCTAGTGCTTTAGAGTTCCTACATGACTCCAGCACTAATTACTTAGTAGTTGGAATCATAGGTAAGATAATTAACCAGTTTAAAAATATCTCATAGGAAAGTCCCTATGAAATGTAAGTAGGTAATACATTTGTTATTTTATCTCTTCAAATAATAAACCTACCTAACCTATGTGACTCTCCATTAGCTACATTATAGACCATATTTCCGATATTTAGAGACCACTTTTATATGAACAAATTTTGGGGATCTTCGATATGATATATCAAGTGATTCTTAAATTAGTTAAATGTTGTTACTGTAGGGTATTCAGACAAATCCATTCTCTTTTCCTCCAACTTACATTTAGATACTCTATACTAACTATAATCTGTTTCGATAATTTTCCTTGCTTTCCTGATTGCACTTGTCATTTGTGTTTGTGTTGGGTGAAAACAATAAAAATGTAGCAAAGATTCACTGTTACTACCTATTAGTAGTGCAAAAAGAATGTAAATTGTAATTTTGTTATTACCCACTAATTGACATTCTGAACAAAAATTACGTCAACTTTGTTTCAAGTTACTGTATATGGTCTAATATCAAATTAGCCCAAGCAACAATCACAGAAACATTAAAAAAAAATAGTAACCATTGTCTTACATTACGAACTGTAAATAATATAATATCAAGGCACAGCCTAGTAAAAACGAGTTTGATGTGATGACAACTGGAACTTATATTGACTTGGACTGAATGACCCACTTTGGATCATTCACATGAATAAACAATTATCCGCCACAGTACCACCTCTTTTTAAATTCGATTATAATAAGAAAAATCAAAACCGGTTGAGTTGTTTGTACCAGGTTGCCTCAGGTACGATACTAGCAACCTCAATATTATTCCAAACTCTTTTTTGCCAAGCTATTTTTTACCCACAGCTATTTTTTTGTTTTTCTCTTTCCAGGTACCCAAGGTGTCGGCAAGTCAATGATCCTCAATCTGATTGGTGCTAACGCCCATGACCAGAGTGTGTGCTCTCAAATACTGAACTCTCATGAAATGCCTCAAGAAAACACTTTTGACAGTAGTGAGATGGGTCCCTTAGAGAATCAAATGGAAAGCTTAGACTTTCGTGAAACGCCTGAAGTAAAAGGGGCGGACAAACCTGACAGTATCTTTAAGTTTAAGATGCAAGACATTGAACAAATTGAGAGAGGTGTTCACTGCACAAAAGGTAATAAGAATAAATATAATAATGATTAATACTTATAAGAAATGTGTCGTGGTGGCTCTCATGCATGAGGAGACAGGTTCGAAACCTACCAACGGCAAGTACCAATGTGACTTTTTTCGAGTTATATGTACTTTCTAAGATTATCTAGACACCACTGACAAATGGTGAAGGAAAACATAGTGACGAAACCTGGGCTTATCATTTCTAATTATAAGTTTGTAATCACCAACCCGCATTGAGCAAGCGTGGTGATTAATGCTCAAACTTTCTCCGTGTGAGAAGAGGCTTTGCTCAGCAGTGGGCATTTATAGGCTGTTGATGATGATGATGAGTTATAAGAAATGGTATGGAATGTAAGCCAAGTATAAAACTGTTATTATATTTTTCTATCGCAAATGATGACTGTCTCAGACTAAACCTGTTCAATACAGATGAAATTTTGATAGCTAGCAATTTATATTCTGACAATCTTACTGTCTACTACAATCTAACTCTATGTTTTGTTACTTTATAGTGTTAAATCACAAAACTACTCATATTTTTCCTATCTGTCCTGCACATTGTTAGATTGTCTTTTTTTGCTCATTACCTGACTTACTGTATCATTACAGGAATTGACATGTACATAACGAAGGACCGAATGATACTCCTCGACTGCCAAGCATTGTGGTCACCGTCGCTCATTGAAGAATCTAACACAGCGGTCACAGCTAGAAGTGCTAACGTAGTGACAGTGGACTGTCTCCAAATAGCATCCTATCTGATGGCAATTTGTCATGTACTTATTGCTGTGCAGGATTGGTTCACGGATTATAACTTCTTAAGGTAATTTCTGTGATACAAAGATGTTGCATAGATGTAAATACCAAATGCTACACTGACTTTTTGGGTCCCAATAGGGCTAAGTCATTTGACATATATCGCAATTTGTTTAGGTACTAAAAATTTCGGAAATAAGAAAATCTTACTTATGCATTGATCAGCCCAAGAATCGAACCCCAGAACCAGTGCTCAAGACACATAACCACCAAAGTAGCCGTAATCTCTTCATGCATTCCTAGAATTGCTAATTAGATAGCACTATAAATGTGACAGTAAATAAAAAAAAAATAGCGTATTTTGCTTTAACATTTTTAAAACAATTCGACTTAACTACCAATCATTCAAAATCAAACTTAACTATAAGGCAATACAATCTAAATTTTAAGGTATATCCAAGCAGCTGAAATGCTGAAACCATCGCTATCTGCTTCGAACACAGCTTCTAGTAACCAGGAAGGTTCAGAGTCGACGGGAGGTGGAGAGAGTCACCCCCACTTACTGCTCTTACATAACCGTTGTCAGCTTGAAGATTATACTCCTGAATCTATGCGCATCATGCAAGATCTCTATAGGTAAGTAAAGATATCCTAAAAATATTAGCCCGCAATTCAATTTTGACGTTTCAAAAGTACCTAAGTAAAGATTAATTGAAATAAATGCTTTGACTTTGATTATTGTTACGAACATCCTAAGTTTACTTTTCAGCGTTTAGTTGCCTATCGTAAAGTCGAAGGAGCAAAAGTCAGTGGGAAACGACGCAAGTCCCGTTTGTGTCGCTCATTTTAGATTGTTGATAATAATAATCTAGACTCTAAAGTTTAGAGTCTAGATTATTATTATCAACAATCTAAACTAACCCCTTTATCATATGGCCACTCTGGTCCCAGATTCAATGTATTTAGGTTTATTGCTTTTGACACTGACATTTGATACTTTTATGGAGTCTATCAAAAACTGAGATCAACTTAATGAGTAATTTTCGATAAATTTCGGCTGTAAATTACTCTGAGTATTACAACTGGATCACCATTTTAATTTCACAACTGGATCACCATTTTAATTTCCAGAAAAGCATTCCTCAAGTCAAATCTACAGTTGAACTCCGGAATGTACATGTACAGCGATACAAATAAGAACAGCATGAACGTCGACAGCGTGTGCAAAGGTTACAGCATAAAGACGTGCGGGACGCCCATTAATCTGTTCCTACTTCCGGAAATATACGCTGACTTTGGTAAGTTCGAGGACGCTCATACAAGGTCACTTCGTTCATTCATTTGTCTTTGTAAAGGTTACATAGTTTGTCGTTAACAAGTTTAACAATAAATCAAGTTGCAAGTTAACCTGGAGATATTACAATTTGTTCGGTTAATGTCTTTGTGATCTATGGTTGAAGGTTAATGGCATTATATTGGTATGGTAACTAACTTTTGGTATTGTTGCGTGGTTTCTATTAATTTGTTCTATTACAAAGTCAGTTATAAATTTATTTAAATTAGAATTTTATTGTGACAATGTCATTTGCATTAATGTATATTTATTATCTACAATTGATGGCGTCGTTGATAAACTTTTTAAAACAAGCTCAACGCAAAAACAATTACGAACTTTTATCCAGATAGAACTGGATAAAGGTTTGTACTGGGGCTCTTACTAATAACTTTCAATTCGGTAATATCATGTGCTTTGAAAGACTCTTGTAAGTACTTATTACTCATTATATCTGAATGAACGTAGGTATGTACCTACTTTTTCATTCAGTATCGAGATCCACAAACAACTTATTAAGACGGCATAATTTAGCATGGAAATACTCATACCTAAATTGTAATCGTGTGTGGCGCCCTGTCATACCGAATGACTGAATCGCGATGACTCAAATATACACACTCATGTATAGTTTATAGAAAAGCTTTTTTATTCATAACAATTATCTTTATAATTGTAAGTTTTTAAAAGACTGCCTCGTTGGCCGAGTGGTCGCAACTTCCAGGCAAGGGATCTCGGATTCGATTTCAGGGTCGGGAAAAGTTTTCAAAAAAAAATCTCTAGTAGCACGGAGTCTGGAGTTGTGCCTGGTATATGGCAATAGGCTCACCCCCTAATACATGGGATTCATAACATAAATAGTGAAAAGTGGGTGTTACATTGTACAGTGGCATCACTTCGGGGATAAAAGGCGTGATGTTATGTTATCTTTTTAATTCATAATATTCTACCTACACCTTTACCAAGGCTAATTTTTATTTATTTTTATCATAGCTACTATTTGAAGAGAGTGTATGTCGCAAGTGTAGCATTATGTCTCCTAATTGCTTTGATCAATGAGTGCCAATCGTTTCAGAGCTGTTTCATTAGAAAATTGTTATTTGAATTTCATTACATTGATTTACAGAATGTTCCAATAACAAATGTGGGTTGTGACATCCTCATATATTATGATTAGCAATACACTGATAACACATATCTAAAACAGGAAACAAATAATCTAGAACATCGTTTTGAGCTGGCATTTGGCTTGCAATACCAATTGCAATAAAATGTTAAATCCTTAAAATGTATTTCATATACATAACATCACGCCTTTTATCCCCAAAGGGGTAGGCAGAGTTGTACATTATGCCACTGTACAATGTAACACCCACTTTTCACTATTTATGTTATGAGCCCCATATAATAGGGGGTGAGCCTATTGCCATATACCGGGCACAATTCCAGACTCCGTGCTACTACTGTGATTTTTTGAAAAACCCAGTAATACTTTGCCCGACCCGGGAATCGAACCCGAGACCCCTTGCCCGGCAGTCTCACTTGCGACCACTCGCCCAATAAGGTAGTTTCAAATAGCTCACTATTTAATATATGTTTTCGGGCCACGGGGCCAGATTTTGTATGGAATGTGTGGAAAAACTGTCAAAAATTCAAAATTATTTTGCGAATGAAGTGATCTGTCGTTGGAAAAATTGGCCCTTAGTATTATGACCTTCGTAAGACATCACTTATGTTTTAAAATTTGTGACTTTATGCGAATTATTAACCAATTGAAAATTGTTGAAAATCATCCCCTAAATTTGTTCATACAAAACTAGTCTCTAAACATTGGAAATAAGGTCTATAATGTCGTTAGTGGAGATCGGACACCGGTGACCGCTTGGGGATATACGGGTATTATCTGTATTAGTCCCACACAGTATCATCAAATACTTCACGATTGGCTTCCAAGTATAAACGAAACTTGAGTAATGGATAATAACAAAATGTTATACAGGGGATTAGATTGACATCTTATCTAAATGATCAGTTGCGATGACTAACAAATATTTTCGTAATTATCTTTATATTCCTGTACAGATTAGGAACGATCGTTGTTATCGTCCGTAAAAATAAAGTAGGTACTGTGAATTGCATCACGTACTATAACTACCGATATAATTTCTACGTAGTGACAACGTTTATACGACGAGTAGTCATTTCTATGCAAATGATAACATCTTTTGGTTAAATGCTTAACGGCTTGCTGACGTAACTGTATGGCGAGAAAACTCAATTAGGTTCAAATTATGGTAGAGGCTCTTGTGTCGCGCAATACTGCTCAAGACTATGAGCTCCTAGCGTGGCTTGAATTTAGTCAAGTTACGTCGTCGCCGTCCGTTGTCAAACAGTTACGTCACTTATGTCGGAATACTGAAACGCTACTCAATCTCGTGCTTAAGTATAGTTCTATCTCTACAAATTCTTTGTAAAATGACAGAGATGATACGATATTTGAGCACGACTTAAAATTGAGAACGTTTCAGTATTCCGGCATTAGCTGTAAAAAACAAATTAATGCCTCACGAGAAAATAATACGATTTCATTTTGTTTTGTTTTTAGATAACCCAGAAATATACCGTGGACATCCTCCATTCGAAAAACTGGCGAATCGTCTTCGCTGGATGATCCTGGGTGTCAACAGGCATCAGATCACTAATGTACCCAATCTCTCAGAGAAGGGATGGTTCCACTACTGCAGCAAAGCTTGGGAGACGATTCGGAAGTGCACTTTCTTCATGGAGTATGAAAGGTTCTTACCGTGAATACTAATTGTCGTACATAAACATGTATTTTGATACCACCTGACCCGATATCGCGCAGGTGTGGCGCAGCTGTTGCGATAAGGAATTAAAAAACCGATTGATCATTTTAGAAATATTTTAATACTGAACAGCTGAGTAAAATAATTTAATGTACACTTTGTTATTGGTTAATAGACTCAAAAGGACCCAATAAACGGATGTAATCAAAAATGTGTTTTCATTGTCATTGATATACACTGTCTATAAGCGGCTTGCGGCGTTGCTCGGGTGGCTTGTATGCGTGTTGGTAAACGCTCGCTAGTCGCCAGTGCTCGGGGTACCCAGTCGCGTTCGCATCCCGCCAGATGCTAAAAGGAGGAGCTAATGTCGGGATTGTATACGACTTCTTACTATATGGGTGACGCATCTTGGGCATTTTAACTCCTTTAGAGTCAGTGGAACCAGTCACGCTCTGCACTGAATTAGGATTGCCAGCTTTAAACGCAAACTTATAATCCTCCTTCTGTTTCGTGTCTTGGACTAATTTTGTCCCATTACAAGACACGCAATTCTTGTGTTTAGGATTCAATAAATCACTGTCTTTTGTTGAACGACGCGAAAATTGTTGCGATTCATTTGGTGAGCTGTGATGAAGCTTGCCTTGTGCGAGCGGTGTCTTCTCATATGACTCTAAACTATGGCGATTACGATTTACGTCATAGGCACTGTTATTATTTTTGATTTTGGTGTTCCAAGCATCTTTAATGGATTGCAATTTCTCTGGCCTTGAATCACCGCGACTTGACTTATGACTTATCTCACTGGGAGTACCACATCCGTGAATTCCGTCACATTCTGGCTTCTTTACAGAGCCTGAACTCTTTCTGCTGGATGATGCTGATCTCGAAACCTTTTCATTGGCACTAGCATGTTGAGGACAATGCTGAACGTCACAAGAATCCCTTCGTCTTTCTTTTGCCATGTCCTTCTCGAAATAAGGCACCGGATGATGACCAACATCGCCAACTACACGATTTTGATTAAAAATTGGATTCGTATGACCAATATTGATACCTTCGTGCTCTTCTTTTGGTGTATGAACCATTGTAAATACAGCTGGTGCTTTCGAACCATTTGAACCATCAATATGCTTTGGCGGTCGCGGTTCTCTTTTGGGATCATCTGGTCTGAAATCCCAGCAAATGGCCAAGTCCATGAGAGACATAGGTTTTGTGTATTGTCCTCCTAAATCTGGGGCAGATGTTGATGGTCTCTGACTTTCTGCTTTATCACCATCCATTTTCTTAGGGTCACATGTCTTAGGCCTATGTACACGCATTTTAGTACAACAGGTAGGACCAGATGCACCGTATCCTTTCCAACCGATGGCGTAAGGTTTGACAATGATATCAGAATCACGATGTTCTGCGATTTTTGTCAAATTTCGGTATCCTAAAGTATCAGGCAGCGGCTGATGCTCCAGATTTCCGACGTGCATCTTACGAGCAAATTGAAAGTTTTGTGCGACGTTAACTTGAGGCAATTTAGGAGTTCCACTTGTTTTGTTGTCTCTCATATTATTCTGTTCATCAAGCTGATCATTTTTCTTTGCGTTCTCGGCTACTTTTTTCCAAAATTTGTCAACGTCGTCCTCTTGGGGGCCGTGTAATTGTTCCACAGCGTCCTTTACTAAAATATCGTGACTGTCGTGCCTTTTGTCTGGGTCAGTCAGAGCACCAGGGACGTACGGCCCGCGACCCTCTGTATCTATTGGCTCCTTTTTAATATTCAACTCTAATGGATCATCGACTTTCTCTTCATTATTTTTCTGGACTATATTATTATCATGTCCATAGGTTTCCGTTTGCTGTTCCGCTTTATCCTTCTATGCACAGACATGTAAAAATTTAGAAGACCAATTCATACATTTAAAATGGATACAATAATTATTAAAGAAATAATTAAAAAATATTAATAGATCTTCAATATTACAGTGCGTTAGCTAAGTACTCTTTCGATTCTATTCTTTTTGGTCTTGTGAATTGGACATTGGCGTGGCTGAAATAAAATAAAACAAAGAAAAAAATTAAAATAAAGCATAGACAAGCAGTTGCGAGTTAGGAGATTAAGAAAAGTTTCCTAATGATAATTATTTTATAATTTATAAACTAGTTTTAAAATAACCGACTTCAAACCCAGACGGGTCTTTTTTAAAGTCAGTTAATAAATATACTTTAACCTTCTAATGTCGGAATACTCAAACGCTACTCAATTTTAAGTCGTGCTTAAGTATAGTTCTGTCTCCACAAATTCTTTGTAAAATGACAGAGATGGCACGATAATTAAGCACGACTTAAAATTGAGTAACGTTTCAGTATTCCGGCATTAGTGTAACAAATACTTTCTTAAAACCGCAACAAAATCGGTTCACCCAACTGCGAGGTTTTCGCGCACAAACATACATACACTCACAGCCTCAAGTCTGCTATTACAATAGTGTCAGAATGATCCATCATTGATTTCAAAATTGTTGATTTTGACAAGTTTGGTAATCTACTAATGTATTGGCGTCATTTTGACTTTCCAATTTGGTCAACTACTGACACATTGAAAGTAATGACATAAAATGGTAATCTTGTGCGTAATGTAATGACAGATACTTCAGACTGCATATAACGCTGATAGAAATTTTGTAAAATAAAATGTAAAATTTAAAAAAATTGACTGCCACGTTGGCCACTTGGTCGCAAGTGCGACTGCCGGGCAAGGGGTGTCGGGTTAGATTCCCGGGTCGGGCAAAGCATTACTGGGTTTTAAAAAATTGTCAGTAGTAGCACAGAGTCTGGAATTGTGCCCGATATATGGCAATAGGCTCACCCCCTATTACATGGGACTCGTAACATAAATAGTGAAAAGTGGGTGATACATTGTACAGTGGCATAATGTGCACCTCTGCCTACCCCTTCGGGGATAAAAGGCGTGTTGTTATGTTATGTAAAATATAAATAACATCTGGCATGAATAAATGTTCTTTAGTAGTTGTTTTTCGAAAACTATTTCTACTACAAAGTTTTATAATAATGGCAATACGGCTATGTCATTCTACTACAATTCCATTACGAGACTATTGACCGATCAATGACCGACTATTATGAATTTAGCAGATTAGGAACTTTTAGCAAAACGACAATGCGATCGTGTTGTAATGACAACAATTATAAAAATAGCAGACTTGAAGCCCAGGACCTCCTTTTTTGATTTTAAAGTCGGTTGAAAATAGTTTACATTCACTTAGATTTTTTTTAATATGAATGGCATTAGTTGATAAATTAATTTTATCCAATTGACAAATATAAGTACATAAAAGAATACTCGACTATAGATATTATATTGGTCATGCCATGTTATCATCAAGATTATTAACAAAGTTTCATTTAAATCGTTATCTAATAGTAGATTTCGCAAACATACCTAGTCAAACCAAACGTTGCTTCCCCATATCATGCTTTCTAAAAAGACTTGGTATTGAAATTCATTGATGAGTTGCCGTAATTGGCTACTTATAATAGGTATCTACTTAGATGCACTTCAAAACTATTTTGAGAGTTTATCAAAATATTCTGACTAGATCATAAAGTCGACATAATTTTGAACCCAGGCACGGTACGCATCTATTGGTTAAGTAGGCAACTAGTACTTGTGCTAAAAGCTGCTAAGTCTCAGAACAAAAATAAAATTGTATACTACAAGCAACTCCGTGTGTCACCAACACTGACCTACTTCGGAATGCAAAACTTTCAAGGAGACCTGTGTAGTGGTTACGTCGGCAGTCCGACACTCGTTACTACACGCTACCACAAACAAACAAGAGCACGTTTCGCGCGCAACCCTCTGTCAATCGAAATTCGCGTGTAACCTTATTCACTCACTTCGAACGTCTGCTCGGCATCTTTCAATTCAGTCGCAGTGGGTTCCTTCTGAGGTTTGCCGCGTTTCCCACCGCGCAGGCGCGTCTTAGCAATCACTTTCGGCCTCTGAACACGAAGATTCAACCAATCTGGAAATCTTCCATTGGGTGGCTCCTTCGCTAGCTCCTCCGCTGAAACGAGACAGGCGCACACGATAACATTGCACGACTTGACATTGAAGCTCCTAAATTTGCCAATGCTCGTAACAGATACATGTCCTGATTATAATTTTGCCATATACCTACTAAAGGACTCGCGTGCAATCGCATTAATAGGTCATCGATTTAAAAAATCCATATTTATGCAGCCATTGAGCAAATCGGTAAGTATCGAAATATTCAAAAACAGTCACTTAACTACTGCGTAACACGATACTTTTTGGGAATAGGAAGTGTTTTGCGTGTATGTTGACAAATAAATGACTGAGCTTTATGACTTTTACCAAGGTCGAACGATAATGACACAGTTCATCAAAGAATTCCAAGTTTTATTAGTACTGACACTTTAACGTACCAACTTTTCTGGTTATTTTCCTTGGGAGCTCCCAGGTGCCGGTGTAATGGCCAAAACAACGCGATGTTCCTCTCGGAGCTCCTGGTAAGAAGTGGCCGTTGATATCACAGATAGGTTTGGGATCAGGTCGCATTTCTAAAGGTCTTGCTCTTGTTGGCGCCCATCGTGGGACCTGCCAGTTGCCCAATCGCTTCGGTGTTGATTCACTGTTGAACTGTTGGTTTAAAAAAGGATACACAAAATGACTCAAAACAAAATATTATTAATGTATTTTCAAGAAGAACAGCCATTTTTCAAAACAATACAATGGTGATTATTTGACGACATCAAGCACGCGCCTGCGGTGGAAGAACACGTGCCGCGCGTGTTTTAAAATTAAAAATTAAAGTCGACACCTCCCTAGACGACATGAACGACATCATAATATTTATCGCATCGTCATCAAAAATAAAATATCAGAGGTCGATAAAAACCCATGTCTATTTATAGTTCTAGCAATTTTGAAACTATACTTTTGAATCAGAATAAAACAGTACGTCACTCAATTGTATCAAATCACAACGAATTTCTGCATCATATTTTTCAAGCCATTATAAAAAAACGAATTTCAACAAAAAACTTGACATATTCAACAAAAAAACTACTTAATCCAGTATGAATACGTGGAGAGATCTTCAAATAAAAATGTAACAATGGCTTTTTGCACCCGCCACCCATTGATCAGGTGTCAACTCACCCCCCGTGGCGCGGGGCGTTATAATAATCATCCCCATAACAAAGGGTTGCAAATTGTTATTTACCCCATACATCACGCGCCCATTTGCCTACATTATAAATGTCCGCAATAATTTAGAATTACACTGTCAAATATTTGTTGACGACAAACATTTTTTGCTCCACATGCATTAATTAGTTCTTGTATACTTAGGTTTGAATTTGAAATAGATTTCTGCAAAAGTAATTTCCTCTATGTTTTGTATAAGTATATTCTTAAGAAATGTCTAGAATTGATCACTTTGTGATTTTTAAAGATTTCCAACATCATCTAAAGTAGATAGATAGGTCCGTACGTACGTACTGTTGCGATAAAAACGCATTCGTATCGACATAAAATTGTTCAGTACAACTTGAAGAAATCAGGGTAAGGCCTCGTTTTACGACTCTTGCCTTTGCTCATATCGAACACGCATGCTTAACATGACTAACTTTCCGAAAACAATTGCTTCGTCATAAACATTATCTACCTCAACAACTCGTAAAATGCAAAATAAAATTCGCAATTTTCGATCAACAAAACGCTTTCACGTTAATCAATGTCCAAATTACTTACAGACTTCAATATAAGCCATATGACCAAAATATTTATCTTTCACAAAGTTATCTATTGCTAACGAAAAGATCATTTAGATTTTTCTGTCATCATTAGGTATTCTGTGCTACATCTACTATCACTAATTCTTAGTATACAGCCCATCAAATAGTCTATATGATAGAACTTTCTTATGTTACTGAGCTAAACCAAATTGAGGAATAGTCACATTTTAACCGATTAAACAAGAAACGAATAAACATTTCGAATACTATCCTTATCGATTGGATCAATATACCTAATACCTAGATAAAATCATAAACACCAATGTAGGTAGATAAGTTATCGAAGGTATCTATACCGCTTTCTCATTCATGTTCGAAACGAAGTCAAAAGCTGGGAACTTCAACTTTATCATACAAAAACTTCACTGGTTGAGATTCAAATGAGGCAGGCCAACACATCACGACCTGGGTTAACACGAAATATACATACGTGATGGTATACCTACTTTTTACCCCGTCAACGCGTACGAAGTCTACACAAGTACCTGTGTAGTCTATATTTGGACTATACCATCGTGTTGGGAAGCAATCTGAATATTCTTACCTACTTGCATAGAGTCGCATCGCGTGGTAACAAAAATAAAACTAAGACACGTGGGGATTTACCTTGTACATAGTTGAAAGTGAAAAACCACTTGAAAATAATAGAAAGGAAGTGTTGCATGTCTAATATTTTGCAACACGAAATTTTGTCGTGCGGTTCTCCTATATTTTATCGTGAATTGCTATTAGAAAATGCACTTACAACCATGTCAATACGGCTGAATTTAGTAGTTTGCTACTAAAACAGTGACATCCAAAGCAAAACAAAAATTCGCACAGACGTTTTCATTGGCGCACATAATTTTATTGTGACACTTATTTAAGACCCAAAATTACAACGCATTCCTTTTTACATAATTGAAATACTATTAAAACATTCCCATTAAATCCTACCTACATAAGTACACACATATCACATAAAATTCGCAACCAATTTCTGATTGATTCGCTTATAGCGTGTAGCGTAAATGTCATCAATTTGCGTTCCGTCCCTGAACTTGATCATTTGTCACGGTCTTCATCCACATTTAAATAGCCGTGCGCCTCTGCCGTTCAAACCACAGCTTACGTAAGAAGGGTTAAACGATTTTTTGCATCGTCACTGTCCCTATACCAAATATAGAACTCGTTGGACTAAAATATTAACTCGCTGTTTGGTTATTGGCTCGTTCCTTATTATAATGGCAATAAGATAACTAGCAATAAGTGCGTAGTAAGTACACCCCTGCCTTTTTTTTGAGGGGGGAATCTAATGACTTCTCCCGCCTGGGTGAGGCGAGAGGTAGTGTCAGACTCTTATTGACTAAAAACCACCCCGTTCCTACTTCTACACTTCGAGCCGGAGCCCCGGCAACGCGTTAACGCGCGCGGAATGCGATACGCTGTACGCTCGGGCCTGGTTCTGGTCGGGCGGCGAGTCACCCGTGCTCGCCGTCCGCAGGCCCGTAAGTACATCCCTGCCTAAAAATGTAATACTAAAACGGAAGTAAAGGTTTATCTAACCTTAATATGTGCATTTTTCTTCTCTATGATGTTACGTTGATCTAGCCATCACACAGGTTCATGAGAAGACGACGAATAAGTCCCACTACTACAAACATCCATACATCACATGTATAGAATAAATAAGTTTATAATTAAACAGGACTGCGATCAACCCTTTCAACAAAATCAAATGTAGGTACTTAATATAATGATATGATACTATTTTTGTTAGACAAATATAGCTGCGTTCACGAATAATGGCAAGTCGATGAACATACATCAAATGTGTTCTATTTCACATAGGTACCTACCTCGCTACTAAGAACCTACATAGTTATATTTGAACTACCCCAATAGTTAAGGTAGGCATGGAAAACAAACGTCTAAACTTTTTAGCATTCCATTGCGTTTTTTCCAGTATAATTTCCATAATATTTCCATATAAAACAGCAATAGAATATAAAAAGGTAAACGAAATTAGGATTTCTTTGTATAGAATAGCTTGGTACTGAATCGATAGAGTTATCAATAGAACTACCGCTGTGCTTTCTTTGATAGACTTTTTTCATTTCTTACAAATATATGGGTTGTGATTGCCTGGGGTTCGTTTACCGGATTGTACAAATAATGAATGGAAGAATGAGTCAAAAGCATTCGTTTTGTAGGACCTGTAGGTAATATATTGTATGAAACTGTTATATATTTTTAAATAATTGTACTGGCAAGCTGTAAATGTTGCAGTAAATTACAGAATCTGTTCAAGTATCTTTTATCATCTTGAGAATGTGGAGGACAGAGATAGCAATGAGTAATCACGCCGTACAAAACACGATTCCAAGCTAATTAAAAAATGCATAAATTAAATAAGTAGGCAAGTCTTGTCTAAAAAGAATCACAATAAACCAACGAAACCTTTAGAACTAGATACACAGATATTTCCCAATATGTAAATGGACAATTTATGGCACAACAATACCTATTTAGAAGTTCGAATATTACATTTTCATAGCCGTCCGTCAAAGCTTCCGTTCGGGCAAAAAACTACGACTTTGACAAATGTCTTGTAAGTAAAGATACAGAAATAGCTGACTATTTTAAGTTGTAAAACTTAAGGTCGCCTGTTAAACATCTTCGGTTTGACTTGGAGTCACGGAATGTTGGCATGATACTCCCTTTACAGGCCTTTCAGCGGGAATCACGCACTACTTAAACCTAGTCAGGTTAACGAAGCTACCTCAAAGTAAAACGAGGTCTATACTTGTATTGCTAAGTAGATGTGTAGAAGTCTAATGGGGAATTCGAATTAGCGGCTGATGATGGCATGATTGGTGAGTGACGCCTGAGTGACAAGCTTTATTAGGACTTATAAAGGATGATGCATTCTTGCCAGTTTATATTGGGTTGTGATTTCAATCTCTTAGTATTATCACTTTAAAGCAGATTAATTTTCATTTATACGTAAGGGTAAATGATATTTGGAGACAGTACTATGGTTTTTAAAAGTAATAACAATATTATTGCACCCACATAAGTGAGCTTATTGCAATTGACTCTGACACACAATAGCAAGTGTAACAAATAAAAGAACAGCCATTTATAACCCAGTAATCTCTAGATTTACTAATAGATTTTATATAAAAACAAAAATACAGAAAACAATTCATCGCAAGCGCACAAGAGCTATTAACTAAAGACTACCAGTTCGATGTGATCAAACACGGATTAACATTGCACACAACAATGGCGTAAAAATTGTCATTCAGTTGCAAATAAAAAATCACCCCTCTACGCATGACCCATTACAGTGACACACATACAAAGGACTTTGAACCCTATTGTGTAACACTATTAAATCGATAGTACTATGGTGGATAGATAGTTAAGGATGTTTACGATGTAATTGGATGTATCTAACAGGGATTAAAGGAATTACAATTTGTAAGTAAGTAAAAAACGATCGTAGCACAGTCCTGGGGGAGCTGCAGGTGCACTGGTGTTAGAATTTATGGGATTAACAGGATTGGATCATCTGGACTTGATAGTTTGTAGGGTCGACATTCAGTTTTTTACTGAAAAAATTACTTAAGTAGGTATTTATGCATTGGACGCTTTGGAGAATGTTTCATCAATGAACACTTACGTGCTTAGCATATGTCTACTTTTCATTCAAGTATATAGTGAATTGTGAAAGCAACATAATGATTCACATTGTCTATCTATAGCAGGTAATAATAATATGAATCATCGATGTATACGAACTGTAACATGGCGCACTTATAGATAAAAAGATATAAGATATTAGGTATGTTGGGGCAA